GCTTGCCTTCAGTTCACTGACAAAAGTAACAAGATTTTTCTATCTAGTTTTTGGGGGGCAAGGTGGAGGGTGGCATCTTGCTTTTAGAGTTAAGATCTTTTTCTGTAAGTATAATATGCCAAAAACATGTAATGGGGAACTTGAGTGAATTACAAAAGAAATAGAAACTAAAACTTAGCAATTATGTATGTGTTATGCTTCAGTCAAATTTAAATCATCTCTATTACCTTGACATTATTCAGAGTTTAAATCTGAGTTATTTTATTCACTATGCCTGCATTTTCCCTCTGGCCGAATAACTGGCTTCTAATGACTGATGATGTAACTTATTAGTTGATTAATGGAAAACTATAAATTCTGGTTACAGGTATATATTCCTTTCTAAAACATATTGTCTTTTTTTTTTCTAAAGTGGAAAGTCTGTAACTCAAATAGTTTGTGCTTTCGTATTGTAAATATATTCTGAAGCAGGAAAAGTGCTTCATATCTGGGGTCGATGTGCTCACTACCTAAAGAAACTGCTTTTTTCCTGTGTTTGCACAGGAGTCACACAGCTGCAGGCATGTGCATTTGAGTTAAAAGAGTGGGATGGGGGGGTGACATTCAGAAAAACTGTAGTATCTGATGTAAATCAGCCTGCAGAATAAATAGCTTCAAAATGAATTGTCTAACAGTTATACCTCTCAAATGCAGATTGGCAACCTAAATTATGGACTTGTCTGAGATAGAAAAGCCCTTTTATGAGATTGTATTGGCTCATATTGCGATTATTTATGTTTCCTATTTCAGAATGGCAGGAAATCATGCCTCTGTGGAGACTGTCAGGTAGGGGTCACCAGCCTTTTGAACTAATGAACACATTTGGCATGTAGGAAAATGTTGTAGGCAGTCTTAGAAAAGGGCTCCTAAGAACCAGCCCATTTGTAAATAGCTACCATGGAGGATGAAAGTAATTTCAAAATCCCAACTGCTGCCCCTCTTCTGAAGCTCCCCACAAGCTGCCCTACATATCTTTGTCCCTTTGTGGGGAGGGGGAGAAGGGACATACTTTCCAAACAAAACAGTGGGTTGCAGTCTGTTATTTGTGCAGGTAGTCCTCAAGAGAAGGACGAGGGAGAAGAGAAGGACGAGGGGGGACATGATAGCAGTGTTCCAGTATCTCAGGGGCTGCCGCAAAGAAGAGGGAGTCAAGCTATTCTACAAGGCGCCTGAAGGCAGGATGAGAAGCAATGGATGGAAACTCATCAAGCAGAGAAGTAACCTAGAAATAAGAAGAAACTTCCTGACAGTTAGAACAATTAACCAGTGGAACAACCTGCCTCCAGAAGCGGTGAATGCCCCAACACTAAAAGTTTTTAAGAAGAGACTGGGCAGCCATTTGTCCGAAATGGTATAGGGTTTCCTGCCTGAGCAGGGGGTTGGACTAGATGACCTCCAAGTTCCCTTCCAACTTTACCATTATTATTATTATTATTATTATTATTATTATTATTATTATTATTACTAAGGTTTCCCCAGTCATCATCACTATTTGGTCCTGTGCACAAGTTATAGGGTAGCAAGTGATTTCCAGTGGTTTTGATCATTTGCAATGTCTTCAACACAATTGAGCCCAACATTTCTGTTGCTGAGACAATTCTTAAGTAAATGTTGCTTCATTTTATGACCTTTTTTGCCACCGTTAAGGGAATCACTGCAGTTGTTAAGTTAGTCATACAAAGGTTGTTAAGTGAATCTGGCTTCCCCATCGACTTTGCTTGTCAGAAGGTCCCCCAGGACACTGCCACTGTCATAAGTATGAATCAGCTGCCAAGCATCCAAATTTTGTTCACATGACTGTAGACATGCTGTAACAGTCGTAAATGTGAAAAACGGTCATAAGTCACTTTTTTCAATGTCATTACAATGTTGAACAGTCGTTAAATGAAATGTAAGTGGAGAACTACCTGTATTTTCTAAAAAATAAAAAAAGTGATTTAATTGAGGCCTTGAAGCATTCTTGGATCAAAAATAACTTTAGAGGATATGAAGCCAGCTTCCTATATGTGAAGAAAAGTTTTGTTTTGTTTTGTTTTGTTTTAATGTCAAAAGTAAGAGGGGACACCATCTGTGGACCCCAAGGGAGATGGTGGCAAGCTTTAGATCTAGAAGCTGTTAAAAGGAATGTGAGGCTGCAGGCTACCCACCTTTGCTTTTCCTGCTTTAATCATTGTATGGTTTATAAATGTTGAATTTAAGGGTTTCTGTAAGAAGCTGGCACTTTTATGTGTTTTACCAAAAAACGTAATGATAGCTGATCAACAAGAACCGGATGATATAACATGTTACCTTTTGCTTTAAATCTGTTGTCTTAAGAAAATGTCATGATTGGCACAGTCTAAAGATCTTTCATAGAACATATCTGTGATTTAAAATGACAAAAAAAGTGTTTAGTTCAAACCATGAGCCCCGTTTAAATTGTAGCACATTTTTTTCTTGATCAGCAAGTACAGTATCCTCTATTAAAGGACTTAGCTGTGTTTATGACAAATACGGTAATACTAAAGAGATTGATAAGAAACATTAAGACTATTGATTTAGTTTTACAGTAACGTTTAGTCACCGTCACAGTGAAACGAGGATCATAGTTAATTGATTGTAACAGCCAAAATGCTAGAAATAATTTTTTTATGATTTTTTTTTTAAAGATACTTTTATACCACTAGTATGATATTACATTATAGGTCAAATAACCTATGCAGCTATCTCTCTTAGCCACAGTGAATAATAGTAGAAATCAAGCAGCATGGACCAAAAGAGAAACCTTTTACAAATAAACAAGAATGATTTATTTTCTGGCTTACAGTGATGTGCAAATGTTTTCTGTTTGGAAGAAGTCCTGTTGACTTACCTTTTGCTGCCATAGAACCTCTAAGAATACAGTTGAAGGACTGAAAGATTGAAACCAACACTGTCTCCCTTTCTCCTTTCCCTTGCTACGTCGACCTTATATTTTAATCCACCAAAATGCAGGAGACAACCTTCCTGTTTTGAACAGAATTGTTAGGGTTTTAAAATGTTTGGTAGCATTAGTTTGTGATCAAATTAAAAGTTACTTTGAACTCAGTCCCTTCTGTGAGTGTAATTTGGAACACACTGATGCTTATTGCAGCTGGCAGCTTCTTGCTATTGCCTCTTTCTGTGTGTGAAACCCACCCCCCTTGGTGACCTTTTCTGGGGCTGGTCATGGTCCCTTTTCATTGTGATGGGCTAGAAGTGGCTCATGTGGAGTTGATTATTTCCTTGCTTGTCTGGTCTGTTTGGTGCCATAACTTCAAGTCATTTCCATTTTCTTCCTCTGTTTTTGGCTGACCACAGAGAAAGGAAATGCTTTTGCTGGCGACAGGATCAGTTTGCATGCTTGGCTGACTTGATTGAGCCTGTGAAAAGGTGGGGAGTGCCTAGTAAATAAACCCCAGAGGTGCTAATGTTCCTTTGGTGTAGTTAGTTGTGATTATTAAACTCCTAAAATCTGCCCAAACCTAATATTTCTTAGTCTTCGTTTCACTTGGGCCTCTTAATTAAGGACACTCTTGTTTAATGGAAAATTATCTACTGGGAGAAAATACTAATGCCTGTTATCTGGAACTAAACAACAAAATCAGTCCTGCAGTTAAAACTTAGGGGCAGCATATCAGTTGTTGGTAGCCTATTACTAATTGCTGTTTGCCAAAAAAAAAAAAAAAGGGAAACCCCCAGTAATCTTTGCATGGCAGCTTTTCCATTCATAATGTGGATTCCATTAAATATTCTGTTCTTCATTTGGGAGTCAATGTGGTGGTGGTGGGGAATGTCTGTTTAAATACTGTAGCTCAGGGGTCTTCAAATGTGGCCCCTTTATGACTTGTGGACTTCAACTCCCAAAATTCCTCAGTCAATTCTGGGGGTTGAAGTCCACAAGTCATAAAAGGGCCAAGTTTGAAGACTCCTGCAGTGTAGCTTTACTACTTTTTACTTTAAAGGTGGCTTCACTTTCTAGGATTAAAATACGGCGTGGTTGTACATGGGTTATATATATTTCAGGTAGGAGAACTCTGTGGTCTTCCAAATATTGTAGAAAGCCAGAGGATGCTGCAACCTCCCCAAAGCCATGTGATCAAAATTTTGGATGCTTGACAGTTGGCATCTCTTTATGATAGTTGTAGCATCCTGGGGTAACCTGATCACAATTTATGTCCTTCCTGACTGGCTTCCAACAACAAAGTCAATGAGGTTACACTAAAAAGATTATTATTGATGTCAATCAATTTTGTAATTTTTATTCTCTACAAAGGAGTGGATGATTTGTGCCTCCCCACTTGTGCCTCCCCAGATGTTGTCACAGGTCCCCCAAAGTATCTTAAAAGTTATAGCATTGGTAAAGAACCATGCATAATATGTTTGTATAATTTCCTTGCGTCAGAATTTTTTTTTCTGATAACGGTCCTAAACTCTTGTTTCTGCCACAAAAGAACCTATGGGAGAAGAAAAATCCAAGTGTTAATATTTATAGTTTATTATTTAAAAGTAGCAGAAGCCAACAAGGCTGAAGCTGTGTGGGATTATTTCCTTTTGGTAAGATAGCTAATTTGTTTGTAGAGTTGTGGAGCGTGCTGGGAACTTAAAAATAACAAGATTCATACATGTTTCTGCAAGTAACAAGATTGAGGGTATTAAAGGCTTTTCATGCTATGTTTTAGTTCTGGTACATATGGTTGAAACTATGTAGCTGTCAACACCTAACTGACTGGGTTTGGAAGCTAAGTAGGATCAGCCCAGGTTAGTGCTTAAATTGAGATTAGGAGGTAGTACTTGGAGGAGGAAAGGGCATGGCATGCCATTTCTGTCGTGTTGCCAGGAAAATTACAGGGACGTACCCATGAAGTTAAATGCCAACTTACCTTTATCAATATTTATGCCTTATGTTTTTACTCACGAAAAATATGCCTCAAAGATGTTGCCTACACTTTCTTCTTTTGTAGGTTCCTCATTGAGTCATATTACTCTGAAGCTCTTTGCTACCAGCCTTTGTAACTTGGCATTATGCATCCTGATCCAGTACTTTCACACGAACTGCTTTTTCTTACAGTTTTCCTCTCAACTGCAGCTTCAGGTAAATTCGCTTTCCTTGATATGTTTCTAATGTTCTCTTTTAGGACTGATAAATGTATGCCAGCTGACAGTAGTTGATAAACACCATATATGTGTGTCTTTTTTTTCTCTCTCCCTAGAGTTGATTCCTCACTTTATTTCTGAACCTCTTTCTACCATCCAGAAGCCAGGAGCAACTATAAAACTTTACTGTTCCACTGAACCCTCTACAGCTCATCTCTCTTGGATATTCAATGGAGAGAAATTGCATAAGAAAATAGAGCAAGTAGACCCACAGCCAGGATCCCTTACCATTTTCTCTCTTAGTCCTTCAAATTCGGGAACCTACCAGTGTGTTGCTAATAACAGTATTGGTGCAATAATCAGCAGGCCTGCAACTGTGTCTGTAGCATGTAAGTTATATTCTGATTGATGGTGAAACTGTACACCTCATAAAATTTTTATTCTTCCCATTGGCCTCTTTTGTTTCTGAGCATTTTTTATCTCTAAACAAAACTTATTTCAGAGAAGGCTTAGTGACAAGCAGAATCAGAGCAAAGTAAAATTGTATGGATGTATCTATACTAATGTAGAAAGAAGCTTATAAAGATTCTCTTTCAAACAGACTAGAACAGACATAAAGAATGAAATCTCTAGGAAATGCTACTTAAATATATACATGACTTAAACAAAGAATGTTTGTTATTTCTTACTTGAAAGGGAAGGAGAAATAAGCTAACCTTGTTGTTAATAAGTTTATTAATCCTAATTTATCCCACTTAATTATAAATTAAGGTTGTGCTGTTTTTCAGGTGTGAAACAAAAAGCTGCTTCAGCTAAACAGCACCGTTTTGCAACTTCTTAAACTAAGCATGTCTTTCCCTTGGCAGAATGCAACCAGTTGATCCCAATAAAAAGTAGCTTCTCTTTTAAGGCAGGTGCTGTGCTCACCTGCCTTCAAATACCAAGTGTTGAGCAGTCCAGTTATTAAGTACATTTTTTACAACTTATCAACCCTGCAAATGTTCAGCTGGTCATTTAAACAATGTGGAAACAAATTCCTTCTCTCCCCTTCTCCCCTCCCCCATATCAGCACAGAAGACTTATTTCTGTTGAGTGTAATTTGACTATTTCAGATCAGAAACAAAATGTCTGAATTACTCCTTTCTTATGCCTGAGCTTGATACATTTCCATTATAAATATACTTTGCTTTTGAAGCATATCCAAAATACCCATAAGAGAAAAACTTCTCATAATTGAGAAGGATAAATGTTTTTGTAGAGTACTGACCCATAGCAAGATCCTCTTGAGAGCTTATGAACATTAGTTGGTACTTACAGATGCTAAGGACTGTAGAAAACTGTGAATACATTCAGTGCCTTTTGTACTGTATTAATTGCTGATGAAATGACTGCAGCAAGACCAATATTGTGTTGAATTGCCATTTAAGCAAAGTAGACATTTATCAAGTTATAGTTGAAATATCAGTTAGTTTAGACCAGTATAGAAAACACAGGCATTGAAAAGTCATTTTATAGTCAAACATTCTGATTACATGTTAAGAGCCCTAGTATTTACCAAAGTAAATTAGCTAATTGGTTCATTTGCTGTTTTAGTCAGCTGCTCTTATGTGCTGCAAAAAGGGCACATAGCTAGGTGTGAAATCTTATAAATTATAAAGTATGTAAAACTCAACTACTTTGCATGCCATAATGTTAACATGACTTTAATGTAGATACAACAAACAATTCTCTAAAGAGCAACTAGCTTAGATCTACATCTATCCAGTTGCACAAGGAACAAAGTAGTTGGGGAAAAGTATGTTGTAAATAGGGCAAACCCTATCAGGCACTGTGATATTAGTCAGACGTAGTTGAGTTACAGCTTTTCCTGTTCCCTCCTTAACTACTTAGGAGATTATATTCTTTTGAAACCCAAAGTTGCACACTCGCCTGGCAATCCTTTTAGCATTGTGAAGAAAAAAAAAACAGATTCTCAGTTTTATAGAGAACCGACAACTAAAGCTTCTCCAGAAAGGCACATTTGCAGCTGGATTTATAATCAGTCAGCAAAATTGCTGGGATTGAGAATGTATAGGAGGCTTTTACTGTTTTCTTATTTTTTTAGGTAACTCAGCACCCAATCAGCTGAAAACACTAATTTTTATTAAGTAAAACTCTTTTGGTTAAAGACCTACAAAATCTACTAAAAGTTGAAAATAAAATAAAAAAGCTTTCATTTTTTTTCTAGATCTTGATGATTTTGAATCTTCATGGAGAAACACAATTTCAGTGGAAGAAGGGAATACTGCTTTAATAGGTTGCAAGTTACCAAAAAGCAGTCCAAAAGCACAGGTTCGCTTCCGCGTCCGGGGAAAATGGCTGGAACAATCAACAGGCGAGTTTCTACGTTCCTTAGCTTGTTGAGAATTGCTACAAGTTTGCATTTTAATATACAATACAAGTTAAACACGGTATTTTCAACAGAAAAATCAAGTTATATTCTTTGCAGTCTCATTAAAATAACTCTGCTTTTATTTTATTAGAAAACTACCTTATTCTCCCATCTGGAAATCTGCAAATTTTGAATGTATCTTCAGAGGACAAGGGAACTTATAAGTGTGCAGCATATAATCCAGTTACTGATGATCTCAAATTTGAACCCACTGGACATAAGCTCATAATCAGTAGTGAGTATTGCATGTCAGTGTAATTAAAATGTCAACGTGCAGTGCCATTGCTTTGCTAGGTCTCTCATCCATTTAGTTTGGTTGAATGTCTGCTTGCTGAAAAGTCTTATTACCTGTAATTATCTTCATCATGGTTAAATGCTGTATGAGAATGTATATTCCCAGAGTTAAGGATGTGAAGCCTTTCTAACCTTTAATAATTGGCTGTTACTGAAAGCTGGATTTGCATATTGTGGGAATCTTTTTTTGTATCTACGTCTCCAGCACTTAGTATGTCCAGCTAGAATTGGGAAACGGTCCTGTATAAAACCTGGGCTGCTTTGATAGAGTATACTGAGCCAGACAGACTAATGGAGAGGCTTTTGATACAAGGCGAGTTCCCATATTAAAATAGTTCAGAGCAGGTGAGGTGTGAAGCATGATAAACAAATCATAATAACAACTCTGCTCTAGATGACAGAGAAAGCTTGGCAATTTAAATTTAAGGCTTTTTGCAGGCCTTGTAGCCAAATATCAGATAACAGATTACAATTAAGTATTATCTTTTGCGATCTAGCATCCACAGTGGATAGTTACGACAAAAATACATAAGCATTGCAAACAAGCAAAATACTTTGGGGGGGGGAATAGGAATCCAAGGAATTTGAGCTAGCTCATTAGAAAAACTCACGCTAACCTTTTCCTCAATTTGCAGACTCTTCCGCAGCGGATTTTCATATTCTTCATCCAACCAGTTCTCAGGCATTGGCAATACCTCAACACAGATCTCTAATGTTGGAGTGTGTAGTTAGTGGGCTGCCTGCTTCTTATGTTCACTGGTATAAAGATGGCAGAGACGTGCTAATTCAGAACAGATGGAAGCTCTTTCATTCGCACCTTACCATTGATTCTGTGGATCTGTCTGATGCTGGAAATTATTCCTGTGTAGTCCAAGACAATTCTGAAGTTGTGAAATACGTTAACTACAGCATCAATGTGCTTGGTAAGATGACAATTTTTAATTTACAAATTCAGAGTCAAAACGTTGCTGTTGCAACAGAATGAAACCGGATATAATGCTTCCTTTTTCTTTCTTTCTTTCTCTTTGGTTTTAGAACCCGCTTCTATATCAAGAGGATTGCAAAATCAGTTAGTGTCTTGGGGCAAAAATTTGCATCTTTCCTGTGAAATACATGGAAATCCTTTACCTAATGTCACCTGGTACCATAATGGAATTCCCGTCCATCTTTCTTCCCGGCACTTTCCTTCAGGAAACAAGCTAAGAATAACTCAAATTGCCCCAGAAGACACAGGATTGTATCAGTGTTTAGTAAACAACGGCATTGGATTTTCACAGTCCACTGGGAGATTTCATTCCCAAGCAGGTAAAACACATGATGCATTTTTTTCCTATCCTCTTTTAGTCTATACAGAAATGGCTTGTTGACTTTGTGGGCTATTTCTAATGAGTAAATCTTAACTACTGAGCTATGCACCCAGTTGTAAGCACTGGCCAGTTGTTGACACTGCCAAGAAACCTTTTCCACCGTAAACTTGCCTGAGCTTTAAAATTAACCATGGAGCTCAAATTGTGAATTGTCATCCACTTGCGTATTAAGCTTCTCAGAACTTATGCCTGCTATTTAGAGTGTTATTCCCTACAATATTTGAGGGTTCCCATTCCCTTTTCTCCCATTACTATCCTTGTTTCTTCTCTTTGTTAACATATAAGACAATTAATTTGATTCATGAAGTAGTTCGTGCAAAGCAGTATGTAAATATTTAAAGTAAACAAAAATAATCACTCGTGCCTTTATTTTTCTTCTATACATCTAGTCTCCAACGATAGTTCAGTTCTCTTGAGAAGATCTTTTATTGTGTTAGGAGAAGAAAAGACGGCTGCTTATACTAACTGCCTTGAGTTATTTATCAAAGTAATAAAGGTAGGGAATAAATGAATAAAGTAAATATAGTTGTAACTCAAAGCAGTCTGTATATGTATAGTCAGAAGATTATTATTTCATTTGAAGCTTCGTGGCCTTTTCTGTGGGTGTGTAAGTGTCTATGAATGAATAGTAAATTGTATTTTTCTCTGTTTTCATTTTTTAAATAGACAAAAATTCCAAGCCAATTATAACTTCACTGCCAGCCAATACCAAAGTGATAGAGGGCGACACTGTGTCATTGTCGTGTAATGCCACTGGATTGCCTACCCCTGTAATTCGTTGGTACAACAGGCACGGAATAATTACCACCCATCCTTCACAGGTGCTCTACTCAAAGTCACATAAGTCATCCCCCCAGGCAAGAAGTGGTAACTCCATTGCAGACAGAGCCTACTTCATTATGTCTCGCAGTGGGTCAAGTTCCTTATATATTCAGCCTCTTACAGTAGAGCATGCTGGGAAATACATCTGTGAAGCAACAAATGATTATGGACTTGCTCGTTCAGAGACTTCCCTTACAGTTGGTGAGTACCATCCCAGTTGTCTTACTAACTAAGTAAGTGGAACAGTTGGGCCATTCGAACAGAAGTTTGCACTAATAATTGCATGTCCACAAATTGCCACTTTGTAAACTTATACGTTTTATAGCTCATCAAATTTCTATTGCTTTCTATGTTGAAACATGACCTTTCTGTGCCAGTTCTTTGCAAATTAGGTGTGTTATTTAAATTGAGTTAGTTGTCTGTTTCTAGAATTGTGGACTATATAATCAACACTTATAATAACAGACTTGAGATTATAATAAATCTGCTGTGTTATGTTTTGAGGTCAGCTAAGTTCAACTTGGGTAGTGTTGCTGACACATTTAACATTCACCTTGAAATAAATAAACTTTCTTCCTCCTTGATTTTTAATGAATCAGCTGCCCACAGCAAACTGATTACCAGTTCAGCAGAGGCAGGCAAGGAGGCCTAAAATGTTGCACAATGAAGAGTTTACTTTATAAACCCTTTCTATTACTTTTTTCAATGCCATTGTAACTTTGAACAGTTACTAATCAAACTGTTGTAAGCTGAAGATTACCTGTACCTGAAGCATTTTGTAGCATTTCTGAAGCATTTTCAACATAGGTTTAGCCGTGTATATATAAGAATCTAGAAACCATATGGACCATTACAATGGGATTAAAAACTGTTCTTATTTACTGTTATAATCTAACTTTTTTTTTAAAAAAGGAAATATTATCTTTAAGATATAAATCACTTTGTGACAATATACATTTATTCATTTATGAAGAAATGCTGATGGAATAAGTGATGGTATTAAGTGTCATTTGTAAAGATCATTGAGCCAATGCCTACCTTTAATCTTTAAATTCTCCTGCAGTTCCCTATGAAGCCAGTACAAAAGCAGCAGCTCCTCCTTCTGAAGTTGCTCAGAATGATGATGGAGATGGGGATCTTGATTCAGAAATGAGCCTCCCCAGAAAGTCTCCAGCCGAGATTCTTACTGACAAAACTGCTACAGAAAAAACATCCAGTGGCATTTCCCCACCCGAAGCGCCCATCATTCTCAGCCCTCCACAAACACTTAAACCAGACCAGTATAACCTGGTCTGGCGATCTGGAAAGGATGGTGGTCGGCCAATCAACGTTTATTTTGTGAAATATCGCAAGGTAGGACTATCCTGGCTCTCTACAAAAAGCAAATATTGGTTTTTATGGCTTAAAAAAAAAAACTTGGAAAGCTACAGTATCCTGGTAGTAACTATGAGAGTGGGGGAAAATAGGATGCTGCTCTACATTAGTTTAAAGCATTGGCAGCAATGGTGATTAATGAAAGCTGGCCTGTTTTAAACATCTTTGGGCCTTGTATTACAGGAAGATTGACATTTACATTTTGCAATGTATGAAGGAAGATTTTTTGTGGATCTCCTAAGCATTTCATTGTGTCTGCACTTTTGTTTTTAAACACAGTTTTGGTAGCTAGACAGTAACTATGTAAATAATACAGTTCTGTGCCAACATTAGAACCAGCAAATTGTTTACCTACCTTCCTGTAAACTAAAGTTTTTGATTAGCATTCTTTAATTCTCCTTTTACAGCTGGATGGCAATGTTACTAATTGGTATACAATCCGTGTTCCTGGAAGTGAAAATGAACTCAGTCTTACAGAACTGGAACCTTCCAGTCTATATGAAGTTTTGATGGTTGCAAAAAACGATGCTGGTGAAGGTCAGCCTTCCATGCTTACTTTTCGTACTAGCAAAGGTAAGAAAGCTTTTGTCAGACCATTTATCGTTCCCTGAAATGTATTTTAGGTAACTTTTTTTTACTGAAGTGTGTACACTTGGAAACCTCTGACATGTTTCCCCTCAAAGTAAGCCATATTGTGTGTAGCATCTGCCATATTGTTGACATTCCTTGCTCAGAAAAAGCAGGTGAATTGGCTCCTGAAACTCTGTGAGTAAATATCTACTCACAGGATAGGCACTTCCAGTACCAGCTCACTTGCAAATCCCAAATTATCCCAACAGGTATCCTCTGCAGTTTACTCTAACAGACAGCTCCCTAGAGCAGCAGAGGAAATGCCAAAATGGGGTAGAATCAGATCCCCCTGTCCCATGAGCAACTCTATCAAAGATGTTTCGTATGTGGAAGAGCATTTCTTAAATGTTTCACGTTGATATACTTATGGATGCTCAAAGTTTCTTCTGAGCTTATTCCATCAACTCACTTTTGTGTTGGAGCTTTTAGGAAGCAACATGAGTAAAATAGGGGTTTTTCAACTTTTTTGTTGCCTGCTCGCATACAACAAGATGACTAAGACTTACTAAAAAGACTCAAATAAGTACCTTACGACATCTTAAATTATTTACTGAGTACACTTTTTTCCCCCCCAGAAAGGTCATCCTCCTCAAAAACCTCACAGACTCCCTCTCAACCAATTGGCTTTCCTAAACATTCTGTCATTCAGGAAGGAACAACCAACAATTTTGGCGTGGTCCTTCCAGATTTGTCTCGACACAGTGGCGGTAAGTCCCATCGATAAATCTGAAAATAATGTACTTTTGAAACACCAACTTTAACCACCTTTCGAATCTTCTGTTAGTTGTGCATCTCCAAGGTCACTTGGGTGTTTAACAGAGCAACTTCAAAAGAAAATAAGAAAGCACCTTCTCCAAACACTGAACTCTTTGGAGTTTAATTCAGTGATAGAATATATACTTTGCATGCAGATTGTGTAGCTTAAACTCAGGCAGCAGATGATTCACTGGGGCCCAGTACTTTGGAAGTGTGTGTCTGTTTGTCATAATAACATGGGTGGATAAATAGACTGAACTTGTATGAGGTTACTTCCTTTGTTGCAGTTAATGATTATAGGCAGTATTACCAGAAAACATTTCTGCTCAAAAGTTTTGTGAAACTGCTGCCAAGGAGAATAAATGGATCACCTAATTTAATGATATTAGACAGGTTTTAGATGTTTAAATGCCTTTTTGGGGAAGCAAACAATTTTTCTTTCGAAGCAACACATTCTGCTTCTGAACAGTTCTGGTAATAGCATACTTATGTTTAATTCAGTTTTTTTTGCAAATTGCATAATATCAGGGCTTTGTTTTATGAAGCAGTCTTAGGTTATATGCCAAGGTGTTAGAATTAAAGAAATTTATACTTAGATTTTTAAATGTTTTCTGTTATTAAAATAAGTGCTAATAAAGGGCATGTTTTGTCATTCTGGTTATATTACAAACGTGCAGATTTTATTTATGAGATTTATGGACTATCCCAATTTGCTATGACTGGTCATTATAATAAAATACAATAAAAACACAGCATACATTATTAAAAATATCCCAAACCCCTCAATTTGTCAACAAAATTTAAAAAACTGGACCATTATACGCCGTCAACTCAAAAGCATTTCAAGATGGTTTTGTTACTGTAAATTGATTTCAAACAATGCAGTCAGGTTTCAAATCTTGAATATGATTCATATTCATAAAGAGCATTCTGAATTATCTAAGTCAACGTACAAAGGTAAGTTGGAAACTAATCTTAAAAATATATAGTTTTTCAGTGTTACACTGTATCTTTCTCTTTCCAATTAAATCTTTTCCTTTCTTCGTGGTGTATCTTGTACAACTTGATATAAAATATACAAAAAGATTTGGGATAATATCTCAGATAATGGCTATAATCAGACTTAACTAACATTCATTTTCTCCCTTTTTCTGTTTCCCCTGCTATCTAACTTCAAGTGAGTTCAGTAAGTATTAATGTAATCTGCATGGTTTTGAATACTAGCTTTTTGGTGGGGGAAAGGGTGCCTGGAGTTTATCACTCCTGTGGATTGCCTGGACTAGTCCCTGCAATTTCTTTGGCGAGATTTTTCAAACGTAGTTTGCCATTGTCTTTTTCCTAGGGCTGAGCAAGAATGACTGGCCCAAGATCATTCAGTTGGCTTCATGCCTACACTGGACTGGAATTTATAGTCTCTTAGTTTCCATCCTGGTGCCTTAACCCACTACCTAAGCTGCTGATACTTCATAGAGATAGTAATAAAGTTTTCATGAATCTATGAATTTCACTTTACATTTTAGATTCACTACCATGAAAAAACTATTTAGCTTCCTTAAAACAAGCTGAATTTATTTTGGTATTAATTGGTTTCTGTGTCCATTCCCATGGTTGTGATTGAGTTATGCAATTCTCTTTGACGCGATAATACTTCAGGATGCGTATGCTCTGGATTAACTCACTATTGTTGCATAGGGTTGTCAGTAAGCTGTAGTATTTCAGAATGGATTTTCTAGAATTAAGTCTTAAGTTATGTTGTGTAGACCAGACTGAGAAGTCCATGCCATGTAGGTCAGGACTATGTTTGTTGCAGCAGTTGTAGTAACAGAATGTTTTGACTCTGAATGCACTTCTCCCTTCCCTCCTTTTAGTGTGAATTTAGTGTGAACTAGAAGGGGGGGGGGCTGTCTGAAACCTAAACTAGTTTCTTGGAATGGGCTTCTCTGCTTCTCTGATTGTTGTCTTCTTCTGTCTTTGAAGTCCATTCCATAGGCCCTTTAAACACTGGGTATATCTTTTTAATTTAACTGATAACCTACAGGCATAAAAATCAGTGTTGGTTTTTTTTGTACACAATTTTGTATGAAGATTTGTCTATTTCCTTGTCTAGTTCCTGAGGCACCAGATCGGCCCACTATTTCAACAGCATCAGAAGCCTCTGTTTATGTCACTTGGATCCCGCGTGCAAATGGTGGATCACCTATCACTGCCTTTAAAGTAGAATATAAACGTGTTAACAGAAATAATGAATGGCTAGTTGCAGCAGATAACATCTCTCCATCCAAACTTTCAGTGGAAGTTGACAATTTGGATCCAGGTATTTATATGCGTGCCTTGTGCTCATGAGTGGTATGTTGGCCAACTCTCCTTCCCCAGAATGATTTAATCTCATTCTCTCTCCCCCCCTTTTTTTCCTTTTTTCTTTTTCTATTTTCTTTTAATTAGCTTTATTTATTTATAACATAAAATGTGAAAATACAAAAGCAAATAGTAGGGGACAACAGTAGAAAAAGGAAAAACAAAAAAAGGTGTGAAGAAAGGGAGGGGGAGAAACAAGGCATTGACTTCCAACTCTCTCTGTTGCAGTAAAATCAGACCTTAAAATCAAATCTCAACATTTTACATTCCTTTTTTATTGAAAACGTTTTATTGACAATTAACAAAAAAAAATTTTAAACCCACAAACCCACCCACCCCCACCCCTACCCCCCTACCCCCACCCCACTTCCCAGAGCCGAGTACAGGGTTATTACAAACATATTAAACATAATCTAATTAAATTTAACAAATTATACAATAACTAAATTCATACTTAACCCTTAACTCCCTTTAAACCTTAATATCATAATATTATAAACAAATCCATTTTAAAACAATGATTATAAAAAACCATAATAACAGTAAATAAACTAAATAATTTCCATTGTAAAATGCTATTAATAATTATTATTTAAAATTTAATCATAAAATGAATGAAACTTTTTAGTTCCATATTTAATCTGAATATAATCTATCCATCTTCTCCTTACCATAATATATCTTTCTTGTGTATGATCCTTTAAATAAGCAGAAATTTTAGCCATTTCTGCTAAATTAGAAACCTTAAGTGTCCATTCTTCTATAGTCGGCAACAAATCTTTCTTCCAATATTGACCTACCAATAACCTTGCTGCTGTTACTAAATTCAACATTAAAATAGTTTCTTTAACATCAAAATCCTCAAAAATCCCTAGTAAAAATAGTTGAGGAGTAACCTTTATCTTCCTTTTAAAAATCTTTTGAATGTTCCACCAAATCATAATCCAAAAAGCCTTAATATTTTCACAAGTCCAACTTTTTACATTTCTGTAGTAAGTAGGCATTAGCCCAGTGGTTCTCAACCTGTGGGTCGGGACCCCATTTGGGGTCGAACGACCATTTCACGGGGGTCGCCAAACAAGGCTGTCCGCCATTTTTTCCCCTTTTCTTTGGCCACGCCCCTGGCACCCGGTGATGTATAAGTGGTTGGGAGTCACCACAACATGGGGAACTGTATTATGGGGTCGCGGCATTAGAAAGGTTGAGAATCACTGTACTAGCCAATGTATCGGCAAATACATTTCCAAGTAGAAATAAAAGCACTTATGTTCTTTTCTTTTATTAGCACAATCAATTTGGCCGTCTCTGCTAATTCATTCTCCTCCCCTCCCCCCTTTTTTTTTCTTGAAAGGAACTGCATATAAGTTCCGTGTAATTGCTATTAATAATTATGGAGAAAGCCCTCGAAGTTCACCTTCTCGACCGTATAATGTGGCTGGCTTTACCAACCGATATTCCAACCGCCCCATCGCAGGACCTCACATTGCTTATACTGAAGCAGTCAGTGACACCCAGATCATGCTAAAGTGGACTGTGAGTATCCAGTTCTTCTTCTGGAAATAACGTTTTATGTTTTTTAAAAGATACTAATAAAACAGTTTGCTCACTAACTAACTTAGAACAAAGGTCTGAGTCTCTTGGAACATTAAACACATATGTTCTATAAATACTATTCTAAACAGGCTGTTTATATATAGTCATTCTCTCTTTTGGTAGTTTATATTGTTTATTGTTTAGTGCAGTATAAAAATAAAAGTGGATGATGAGAGTATAATAGAAGATTCAAATGAAAATGGCACATTAAATGCTGATATCAGAATTTTTTAATCTTCGGCTCTAAGGAATTCTAGTTGTTTCAATTTTTAATGATTGAATATGTAAGTTAATTTTTTAAAAGATGGAAATACGCTATCAAATTAATTCTTTCTCTGTGTAATGGTTAAGTTTCAAATGTTTTTTGCAGTTTAGTTTATCAGTGTCATTAAATTTATCTTCCCTATATCTTTCTTCATTCCTTATTGTGTGTTCTGAATTCTCACGTGTTTAAGCATTTCTGTTTTAGTATATTACTTCAAGTAACAACAACACACCTATCCAAGGATTTTACATTTATTATCGCCCGACGGATAGTGACAATGATAGTGATTACAAACGAGATGTTGTAGAAGGTAAGATCCATGCACAACTCCTTCGTTTTGTGTCTTAATGCATAAAGGCCTGATTAAATGAGATGTAAATATTATCCTTATGCGTTGTATATATGTCTTATTAAGACCGCACAGTAATAACCCATTGGATATATTGACTTTTTGTACTCATACTTTTTAGAAAGCAACAGGTTAGAAAATGCTGACATAGAAGGATACTGCTTTGCCAAAACATGCCTAAGACTGACCACATAAAAATGATTTTTCAGATTTATCAGAGATTTAAGAATTAATTGCTTTTTTTGCACATCTCTAAATGCAGAGTTTTATAGACTTTGAATTTTTGTCTCTTATAAGATTTTCTATACTTTTTTTTTCTTATAATGCACTTCATCTGAAAGAGTACAGTTCTGTTAAATGGCGTTTCCATTTCTCTTTGCTCCTTCTATTCCCAGGTACAAAACTCTGGCACTTGATAAGCCACCTACAACCTGAAACATCATATGATATTAAAATGCAGTGCTACAATGAAGGAGGAGAAAGTGACTATAGCAACGTGATGATATGTGAAACCAAAGGTAAGAAACAATTGTGGGGCCCTTGGTGCTTGGTGGGTTTTTTTTTTTTCAAACATTTCATTACCAAACTAGGTAACATCCATAATTGTTGCTTCTGATAATAAATCTGTTTGTTAATAAGCAAACTGGTCAGTCTTAAAAGCAGATACTTATCAAAAGGGGAGAAACATTGTCTAACTAGCATATATTATGCCTTTCTTAATTGAAATAGTGCTCTTTAAACTGAAGGCAAATAGAATAATATGGCACTCTTTACCCTCTCATTTTTTTTCATTCCTCTATGATTGTGATTATTTATTGTATGCCAAAACAAATGCATCTAATTAATGGTACTCTGTAACTAATGGACTTAATAATTTTAAAGCATTTTCAGCTGTTGCTGAAGTTCAGCATAAGGCTAGAATAACACTTGCACGAATTTATCATTTCATTTTTTTTTTCATTTAACCTTTTTGCTTTAATTCCAATCAGTGAAACGTTCACCCGGAGCATCTGAATATCCAGTGAAAGACCTTAGTACACCACCTAATTTCCCTGATCGTGGAATTGGAAGCAATGCAGGTCAACCAAATGGTTCAGTCCGGAGTGGCAACATGTTGTATCTCATTGTTGCCTGTGTCCTTGGAGGGATGGTTTTCATTCTGATTGTCTTTATTGCCATGTGTTTATGGAAGAACCGTCAGCAGAATGCCTTGCAAAGTAAGTTGCTTTTCATGCATAACAGCCTTATTTTATAGTATAATAATAATGAGAAGGAAGGAAGGAAGGAAGGAAGGAAGGAAGGAAGGAAGGAAGGAAGGAAGGAAGGAAGGAAGGAAGGAAGGAAGGAAGGAGAAAAAAAATATTAGAATTAGAATTCTTTATTGGCCAAGTGTGATTGGACACATAAGGAATTTGTCTCCAGTGATAAGCTCACAGTGTACATATAAACAGCAAGTCATAGGTCATAAATCATAGTAACAATCATTAATCATAAGTTACAAACAACAATTGATAAATCTTAAGAAACCAATAGGAGAAGATGGTAGGAAAGATGAGAAGATAAGAAAAGATGGGAAATGAGACAGTATTGTGGGAATTAAGTGCTCAACAGGGTGTTGGCATAGGGGAAAAAAAACTAAGTCTGGTTGTTTTGGCATGCAATGCTCTATACCATTGTCCTAAGCCGGGGAGAAGTTAAAACAATTTATGTCCAGGGTGTGAGGGGTCTGTAGATGTTTTCTCACCCCTTTTTCTGGCTCATGCAGTATATAGGTCCTCAATGGAAGGCAGGCTGGTTGTGATTGTTTTTTTCTGCAGTCTTACCTATCGGTTGGAGTCTGTACCTTCAACATCTCATTGCATCTTGTCCCTGCTTTATCATTACTGTGGAACAAAAGACAACTTTTACATGAGTTTATTTTTCTCAGCCTGTAACTCCTCTATTATGCAGGTTATAACTAAAAGTTGCATAGTGATGCTGAAAATGAAGCAGCAACCTATGTTTATAACTCATCTTATTTGTTAACCATCTTAATATCATCCAATATTGTATTTTATTTAACCAACTTTATTCATGTTTTTACTATTTTATTATTTTAATCTTTACTACTGTTTAGTATTCCTGGCCCTGGCCATGATAGAGTATGATTGAACATGGCTGCTAATTTCGTAAATTCATGTATAATCCATAAGTTTTGCTATGTATTTTTAACATGATTTCCACTCAAATGTGAATATAAGTAAAGACAACAAATTTGTAAATATGCAGTGAAGCTTAATGCTTACTCCGACCCTATGCCTTCCTGATTTGGCTAATGGGGATTAACTCCTGCAGAGATTCACTTTTATTTTTATTTTAAGTACAACCAACTATGCTATTTGCTTTAAAATATATTTAGGAAGGTTCTTCCTATTGGAAGATTTGCTAAAGACTAAAACTGTTAATTGACACGGTATATAAATGCAGGGGAAAATAGGCCAAGAACATCTTCTATATGCAGCACATCCAAGTTAAGTTGCAATTTCTAGAGGATTTCTTCTTCCTTGTTTCTACAGAGTATGACCCTCCCAGCTACCTCTACCAAGGTACGGATATCAATGGACAAATGGTTCAGTATACAACTCTGCCAGGCACAAGCCGCATTAATGGTGGCGTACATGGAAACTTTATCAGTAATGGAAAACATAATAATGGATGCCTCCACCTCCATCATAAGGTTGCTAATGGAATGAATGGGATCATGAACGGTGCTGTCAATGGTGGAACCGGTGTTTATCCCGGACATTCTAACTCGCTCTCCAGAGCCCACATAGAATATGAACACACCCATCACATAGGAAATGTAAGTAAATGTGATGCTTTATGGGTCAAGCCCTTGAAGCTTTCATTGTTAGGAACATTAGAAATGAAAGTGGAGATGTTCGGTCTTCTTGAAAGAGAAGTTGCAAATGTCATATACCGGTATCTGTTCTTGAAGACCACATTATTGGACACCTATTAAAGTATGATACAGTTAATAAAAGACTTCATCGTGAGAGCAATAGATATAGACTTAAAGATACACTTTAAAAGTCATTTTTGTTAATGTAATATTTGGAGACTTGAACACCTTCATTTACTAATAGTCCATCTGTTCCTCCCATATACTCATTTTTGTATAGACCCTAAGTTACTGAATTTGTAGCAGAGTTTTCTAATGTAAATAGTGTTGCTGAATGGAAACATACAAAAATTTTGTAATTCCTGTGGTTACTGAGAATTTCTGTTATCGGGCAAAGAGGCATAATTTTGTTTAAACCTTCAGAGTTCCTAGAAATTAAAAAAAAATGGTTACATCAAGTTTTTATATATAAATTTATGAAGCTGATTCAACTGAATTCAGGTTCAGTTGAGAACTAATGCTTCAGATGGGCTAGATTTGAATAATGTTGGATGTAGCTTTTTGTGTTGTGGAACACTACTCTCAGATAATCTTGATAAATTAACTGCCCATTTTCACACCTTAATAGGTGTGAAATGCCATAATAGTAATGGCATTTGCCTTTGGAGAGAGCCAGTTCTAGGCTAGAAACCAGATGACCTGTGAGTTCTAGTCCCATTTTAGGCATGAAAGCTGGTTGGGAGACTTTGGGCCAGTCACTGTCTCTCAGCCCACAACATCTGGCTCAGACAATAAGCTGATTGGTCAGTTCCTGTCACAGCCAATGGATCAACACTGAGTTGATTTGGGGAAAAAAAAAATCCAGACCCTGCAGTTGCAGGAACAATGCTAAGAAGGGGAGAAATACCCTTTGTATATCCATCCATGTTGAGATTTTTACTGTAATATGAGATAAGGGATTTCTAGCAGATAAATGATTCACTTTTTTAAATATGCACAGATTTGATGTGTGCCAAGTCACTTTGTGACTAAGCTGTGTTTCAGACCTAATTTTAAGTAGTGCCCTTAATTACATTTCAGTGTGCCAAAATCTGAAGCTCATAAACTGAAGAAATTCCTTTTTTTTCCCCTTTTGGTTCTTGCTCAGCCACACCATAATATTTGCTTTCTTTTTAAGCGCTTTCTTTTTAAGAACGAACTATTCTATTCATGTCTGTTTTGAAAAACACAGTTCTTAGAATGTATTTTTATTATGCAGCCTACTTTAAATAGAGCTTTCCTTACTCATCGTGCTGAGCTGAAGACAGCCCAGATAGAGTTTTAGAGGTTCAAGGAGTGAAGAAGGCAAGTTTATCATTGTTCTTGCTGCTTGAGTAGCAACAACTCAAGAGGAGCGGCTAGGTTAAGAGGTCCTACACACAAAACTGTTCCAATGTTTTGTGGGAAACGAGGAATGTGTTCAGAAATTAAGTAACATCATCTGCTTCTAGTGGGAGGACAAGTGGGCAATTGTTTGCTCTGGTAATTGAACATAAACACTTCATTTCATGGAATAACAGATTGCTAGAAGTACAAGAATGGCTGTCCAGATAACCTTTCAAGTCTCTCACAGTCTTCATGTTTCCTTGTTGTGGCCTTCTTAGATCCTTAAGACCCATTTAAAGGCTAACCCAAACATTGATTTTAGAAATATTTAAATGAAAGCACGTAGAGGAGGATGGACGCAGCCGCTGTGAAATTAAATTAGAGCCCAGGCGACTGGGGTGGGTATGCTGAGAACACAAACTTAAAACAGGTGTTAAAGATTCCCCTTTTAGATGCTCCCCCAAAGCCTAATTCTCACACTTAGATTTATCTCCAAGTAACATTATTTCTCTCAAGTAGGAAATCCTACCTTCAACATTTTAGTATGCAATTATTTCAAAGATTCCAGTGTTTATATCGATCAATATCCTTGAGAGTTTTAAAACCATTTATTCTGGCTATTCATCACTAACTGAGTATTAGTTCATGTCCTGTTTTTCTTTGGAGAAGGGTCCCTAATGCCAAAGCTCTGAATAAAGTAAGACTCTACACTAAAACATTGGTTTTGCTCTTTGTGCTAACACCCCCATGCCCCCACAAACACTAATATAGTTGTGCATAGAGGCAACATTTTCAAATAAGGAGTTGCAGCCTCTTCACAAGATTCATAGATGAGAATGTTTCTCCCCCCAAAAAAATAGTTTAATTACTTTATCATATAGGCACGCAACAACTTGGGAACAGTTGGTCTTGAAATTCGTCTTCCAGTAAGAGATCTGAATATTTAGATTTCTGTTACTATTTATGCCGCCTATCTGCAAGTATTTCTTAGAGATCTAAGAAATACTTGCAGATAGGTAGCATAAATAGTAATAAAAATCTAAATACTCAGATCCCTTACTGGATCTGAGACACAGTATTTAGCAATGAGTTACATATTATTAATGCTGCTTTTTTTTTATTTGTAGAGATTGTACAGCCAAAAACAAAAACTCAGAAATCCCTTTGCCTTCTTTCTCCATCACTTTTGGCTGACAAATTAATACATCTGTAAAAATAACAGCAAATTTCAAACCCAGAGTTTAGTCAGGCAAGCTGAGCTAAATGGAATAATTGAAAGAAACTGGGACATTGATTATATTTCATCACTCACACATGCAACATCCTGTCTCCACCAACAAACAGTAGTTTCCAGTAAAGAAAAAATTCCCTTCGTGTCTGTCACTATGTCAGTAGCATTTTCACTTTTTTCTTCAAATTAAGCTTGGGCGTTTCAAGCTGAAAATAAGGCCAAGGAACTTATTATGAACATGTCTAAGCCATAACATTTGGCCTGGCTTTGCTCTAGCACAGGCGTGGGCAATTGTCGCAACTTTATGACCTATGGACTACACCTCCCAGAATTCCTGAGCCAGCATGACTGGCTCAGGAATTCTGAGAGTTGAAGCCCACAAGTCCTAAAGCTACCATCGTTGCCCGCCCCTGTGAATTTCATGGAATAAACTGTGCCTGCTTGTTTAATATTACAGACTCATTAGCTTCCTTATTTTAATTTTCAAATATTTCCATTCCCCCATCATCCAGGGTGGTGAAGTATATACCTCCGTCCCTCAGACAGATCCTTCAGAATATGCCAATTGCAGGAACTGCTGGAATAACAACAGGTAATCAAACTGATCTCTGAATTGGGATCTCCGAATTTGAGCCTGCACACACTAGTGATCCCATCTATGTGTCTAGCAAGTACATCTTGATCTTTGCATTCTTACTATTCCAGATTTATGCATAGAAAATGCTACAGGGTTTCTAAAAACTAGCAAGCTGAAGACCTTCCAGCTTCAAAGAAATTTAATTCCTTCAGTTTTAAATGCAGAGCTAGCTCTAGTCAAGTATACTTAGTGTGGGCAGTTTTGTGCTGCTACACAGACATTTATCAGCTGCAAGATTTGCTTGAACTACTTTATTTATTCAACTTTGATGCCAGCTGACTCCAAATCTGGGCTGAACTACAAGATGCAACCAAATTTCTCTTTCTAAGTTACAGGCCCATTTATTTCTTCATGAAATTAGTCATTTCTTTATATAGGAAACAGCGCAATCTAGTACATGCTAAAATGAAAAATGTCTCGATAGAAGCAGGCAATTTTTGTCTGAGAAGATCTAATTTAGATGCCTTAGGGCTGGTACTTGAACTAGTGGTTAGGCTGGTTATAATATTATCCAGGGTGGCTCAACTTCACTCTTTTCTGAAAGCTGCCAGGTCCTTTTGCCTTCCTTCAGCAACAAGATTATAAAACAAGAGCCTGAGCAGACATGCTAAAGAATTCAGCTTTTCCACTGCAACAAAATCTCTGTTGATGAGCTAGAACAGTGATGGCGAACCTTTTAGAGACTGAGTGCCCAAACTGCAACCCAAAACCCATTGGGTAGGCGTGGCTGCAGTGGTAACGGCAGGCTGGGTGGGACTAAAAAGTTCAATCAATTCCAACTTTGCAAGATCTTTTTTTTTCCCACGAGAAGTTGAAATTGACTGATTGATTGAACCTTTTTTTTTTTTTGCATGCGGCAGCGGAGGCCTCAAGTGAAATGGTTTTATAAAACCCAGAGAGGGCTCTGAGTGCCGCCTCTGACACCCGTGCCATAGGTTTGCCACCACTGGGCTAGAAGTTGCCTCATAGAAAACTTGCCCTGCACAAAGAAATCTTACTCTATTTGGGGACGATGACCTATAATGCTTAGGTCCCACCCATTTTTCCAGTTTTCCATTAGCAGGTTTTCACCACAGTGGTCAGCTTGAAGTTATGAACTGTCAGAACCCATAAAGAATTCCCAGAAGGAGTGCTTCAGTCTCATGTAGAGCATGGCTGTCCCTTGAAGGCCCTTAAACCAAATAAACTCAATATTTGTGGTTCAACAGCAGCATTTTACTAGCCATCCCGTTCATCAAAATAAACGTGGAATAATAGTTCCGCTTTGTAGATTATAAAATGTGTGCCTTGTGTTGGCTGTATATTTTAAACTTAGTGGCTCATGCAGTAAGGGAAAAAACTTCATGCAAATACTTTAACACTTGTTTATAGCAGAGTTGAGCTATTTTTTTTCTCTCTTCCATGAGAAACAAGCAAAATTAACTTTTTATTTACCTAGGAGCCTCTCCTTTGCTTTAGTTTAAGTAAGCACATAATCTATAATGGATTGATGGACTATAAAAATAAATAGCAGCTTTCTGCCAGTAGTTGTTTTCTTAATATTTCGCAAGGCACCCTGGCTTTTCTGCACTGAAAGCTCACATAATGACAATTCTGGGATTGTGCAACCTGTGCTTGCTGTTGCCTGTGTTATAAATCATACTTGTATTTAGGCTTTGCTTACTGCAGTCACACACTGCCCCTTACTGCAATCACACCAGGCACTTACAGTGAGTTGCATTGTCACTTTTCCAATAAAATCAAACTGAAAGTCAAAGATTTTACATAGTGCAAAATGCAAGGTATTGGGTTATGGTTCAGGTTCAAATTAACTTTAGCTGTAGAGCTGACTGGGTGGGAAAAAAAATAAAAATGAAAGTTAAAATTGCCAACTCAGCTTGACAGCCAAAAGTCAGATTTTATTGATTCTTGCAATACTGCATAAAATACTCAAATTTCTACATGTTGCCTCTTAGGAGAGTTCCACTATGTGTGTGTGTGTGTGTGTGTGTGTGTGTGTGTGTGTGTGTGTGTGCGCGTGTGTATCTGCTTACAGTTAACATAAAGATGGAAAATTAAGAGAATTTTTGTATACATGGGGAATTTTGGTAGTTGAAGTCCACAAGTCTTAAAGTTGCCAAGGTTGGCCACCCTGTTTTAAAAGAAAACTCATGGCAAATGTAACAAACAATTGTAACAAATAAGAATAGTTTGAATTGTGCTGCGTTTTGCCCTACACAGGCATATTCTTTGCATAATGAATTAGTATCCATAATTCTCTCTTCAATTCTCCCTGAGTTCCCATCTCTCATCCAATCCATTGCTAAAAATGGCAGCAAGTCAATCAGAATTCACCCACTTGTTAAAGACAAATGGGATGGCTTATTTGAAAGTCTTGAAATAATCTGTGAGTTGCTGTCAAGGATCTTTAGAATAAAACAAATCTGTAGGCAGAATATGGCTTCACATTTTGTGTAAAGATAAATACAAAATCCAGAGTGATCACTCCAGATTATTTTGTTAGATCCAGCATTTACTTATATACTCATTTAAGATAACCTATTCTTTCTGGACCTCATGCTTTATACAACAGTTCCTACATCTTCCCTAAATAGATGTAGCTGTGATGTGGTTTTTCACCAAATTTATGTTTAATCACCAATAATATAGTAAAGTTCTTGTTAGCATTTACTGTGAATGTTGAGAAAACAACTTGATCGCTGCCTTCATGTCTTTGGAAGTGATGCTCCAGCTGCAAATGTTTAAAGTACTGGCAGCTTCCCAAAACTTTGGATTAGAGCTAGCATGCCTACAAAGGATTTTGGTTGTTAAGTTGCCTTTTTTTGTTGTTTTCTTTTGTTCAAAGGCTGAGTAGCTTCAGCTATAAGAAACTGACTTCCTTTTCTGCTTGATTAGCCATTCACAATCCAGAACAAGAGAGAATTATCAAAGTGTCTTTTTGGGAAGAGTCAAAAAGCATATTCTCACTTTCTAGGATTACAGTGGAGAAGAATGCCATGCTGAATGAAATCATTCTGTCAACAGGAGCTTTTCCAATTTGGAGAACAAACTGGCAAATATAGCAAACAATGAAATCCCTTGTTATATTGCCAGAGTTACGCCAATAAAAAATTATCAAGATAAGCTCTTGAAAAGCAGTATAAAATAGTACTTGTTATCGGACACACAAATTCCTTGTGCATCCCATCACACTTGGCCAATAAAGAATATTCTATTATTATATTTATAATAAGCATTTTGTACATGCTTGTGCTGCTAAACCAAGTGTAAGATTTAGTCATTAATGTCCTAAACAACATTCAACCCAGATAACTGCAATTAGATAAAGATTTTACTAGCCTTACATATTTTAGTTGCGGATTGAAATGCATTATTATCAATTTTGACATTTGGTAACTTACTACAGATCTACTATTCATTGCAAGTGAATGATAATACAGAGGCATATTTATGCTGTGTATTTCTGGTGCTGAGTGCACGGCAGGCATTATAGAAATATTTTGAAGAAATAAAGAATATATTGATCAGTGAAACACGATGTGCATTCTGATCAATCTTCTTTTCTCTTTTCTGGGCTTGAATATTTGTAGGTGTTTCACTAAAACCAGTGGCAATTTTGGCAACAGTTCTGTACCAGTGATGCCCATTATAGCACCTTATCAGCAAGACAGTCTAGAAATGAAACCATTAAATCACATGATTGTGGCCATGTGCCTGGCATCCACAGTCCCTGGATGCAGCACTGAGACTGAGGAGAATGATAAGGAGAAGGCAGACTCACCGTCACATCAGGACACTTGTGGCCAAGAAAATATGAGCCCACTCAATACAAGTTCTATATCAGGTATGTTAGAAAAATGGAAAAATGTGCTTATTTCTTAACGTTTATGGAGATTCTCAGTCATCCAGGTCGTGGTTGTCCCAAAAGTGCTTTTTCAAAAGGCAACTGGACTTTGTTTTTCCTTGAAGATGTTTCACTTCTCATCCAAGAAACTTCTTCAGTTTCTTACCTCTTAGGTCATTTGTATTTTTTTCTCTCCCGTTCAATTGTGTCTGATTCATGGAGACTGCCTGGCCAAGTTCCCAGCAGTTTTCTGGGCAGGTTTTTCAGAAATGGTTTGCCATTGCCTCCTTCCTAGGGCTGAGAGAAAGTGACTGGCCCACAGTCACCCAGCTGGCTTTGTGCCTATGATGAGACTAGAACTCATGGTCTCCCAGTTTCTAGTTTGATGCCTTAACTACTGCCCCAAACTGGTACTGTAATGTGTATTTTCTTATAACTAAAACATTTTAATTCATCCACACAGAAATCAGAATTATTGTAAGGGCAAATAAATACAGCATCTTGAGTGGCTCCTAATGCTCAATTATTTTTCAGGCTTCTTTACAAAATTAGGAGCTTTTACAAAAGGAATTTCCTCCATCTTTCTCCTTTGATTAGGCTGTGAGGATTGCTTTTAATCACAGTTCTGATTTTTTTTATTAAAAAAAAAACTTTCTTCCAAGAATATCTTTCGCTGTACTTCTGCATTTCAACAGCTATAATTAATTGGATTGGATCCTTATCCAGATGCTGCACAAAATGCCATTAACGTTGAGGCAAAATAGTGAACATTCAGTAAACGGCAGCCAGTTGGGACTTGCATAAATCTTTTGAATAGTTGAGGTGGTTTAGGTAGCTGATGAACAGATGCTGATTATTGTTTTCCTTTGCAGATCACAGTGGACGTTTGGAGACATCTGATGCCAGCTTGAACTGGAACCCCCTTTTTCATCGGCCGATTTCAAAACACTGTCATGAAAAGACCGAAGTGCTTTCAAACGGGGGTGTCACCTTGGACAGTTTGGGGGGACATCAGCAGCTCCAAATACAGGAGACTTAAAGAGAAATGGCCTTCCTTGATAAAGCCAGTATCTGCCCAGCAGAATTGCTGGAAGAGACGGACAACAAGAATACTAATTATTAGAATCACTATTTATTTTTCATTTTGAGATGCAGTGTCCTATGAATGTATGTTTTAAAACGCCCTTTTGCTGTTGTGTATTATTTATCCCCAGAGAAATCCATCCCCACACCTCCCTCAATGAAACCATTCTGATGATTGATGATACTATAAATCAGTGTTTCTCAGCCTTGATGCCTTGAAGATCTGTGGTCTTCAACTCCCAGAATTCCCCAGCCAGCATAGCTCCCAGGAATTCTGGGAGATGAAGTCCACCCATCTTCAAGGCAGCAAGGTTGAGAAAAACTGCTAGAGATGATGTCTTCCTTGGACAGTGACCGTTGGAAAATTACTGTTGCAGTGTGATGTAAAGGTTTTAGCAAATATACACAAGGGAGAACCTCAGGCCCAAATTGGACTGCAGCTTATGATTATACAGCTAAGAGGTATCAGTCAGATAGAAGAATTCCAGCCTGTCTCAAAAATTACAAGCTATTAGTGAAATCATGATAACTTTCTGAAGGCATATTAATCTGGACTGTTGATTCATTTTATATGCTGAATTATTCTCAGTCTTGCTGATCAGCAGTTGGACTTATGTAAGTGAATGTAATAAAATATAGAGTTCTTCTTATGCTGGTTTTTTGATAGCGAGAGGAACAAGGCAGGCCTTGCGATATTGTCACAACAATAACAAAAACGGCAGTAGCATTTATAGCCACCTGCCCAACAATAAGGGAACGCTTGAATGTGCCTATTCTGTAGCGTTGTCCTTTGTTTTTATTCTAAATGTTTTAAAATTTACCTTTTGGCGTTCCCTTGGTGTGTCTCATATACAATACTGTTTCACTTGTTACGTGTTGTGTTAGCTTTTTCTCGTAGCATGGTAGTATGTTGCGCAAAACATAAGCTAGGAGAAGAAGAGGTAAAGAAGATTTTGGATGCAACTGTGATATTAGAAAATTGCCACAAATGCTAGGTTGGAAATATCTCCTCTTTTCTTTCTCTTTTCAAAGAAAGCAAAGAGCTGCTATTGTTTTAGGGTTGATTAATTAGCCTAATTAATTACAAGTCAGAGGAGGGTTTGGAACTTCCATCTGTAGTAGTTAGTAATTACATTTTATGGCATTTTCTTTGAAATAAGTACTAAGAGTACATTAACTTCTACATATTGTTCACCAGAAGTTAACCCTTTTGCACGACTTGGAAAGTTGGGATGCAAGATCAGAAATATTAATCCCATTTCTTTTGGCCATGCAGAATTGTTGCTTTACCCAAAATCAACCAGTGCTATTAATAGAGTCCAATTTGCCCTTCATTTGTACAAAAAAATGTGTGTAAGAGGAGAATAGCTGCGTAGTTCCTCTTCCCCTTTCAGTTTTAACCAGTATGTATACAATGTGAAATATCTAATAATCAGAGAGACATAGTTCTAAAAGTGCAGTTGTCCCAAGCAATAGGGATTGATTTTATAACTGGATCAAGGATTGAAAAATACCAAGAGTAATAATGCCATAATAAAATTAAAAAACTGTTCTAGAAGACAAAAAGTGGTGCTCAATGGCACCCTTGGCCACACTGAATAATATGTGTGCGTGATTTTGTGTGTGTGTGTGAAATTAAAAATGGGCTCTATTTTTTATAACTGTTGCAGCAGAGATCAAATGCCGTGTGTATATATAGCGTGTGATTATTTTATATGATGTATATTATATAATTTTATAAATATGACTCCCTTATGAGAACTTGTCGTGTGGGTCTGGTTTCCTATGCAAGACCTGGTTTTGATGATGCAAAATGCTGTTTGCTTTACATTGAAACTTACAGAGAAGGATTGTGCGCTGTTTGTTTAGACAATTAATTTGGAAAGGCTTTAGAAATTACTTTTCAATGTTCTTTGAAATGAGGTCACAATCTTCTACACGAGTTTGAGGGTAGGACCAGCATCTCTGCTGGTTGGGATAGAAGGAGAGGTCTTTTCGCCAAGCCAGATTGTCAGAACACTTCCCCACCCCAGACCACCCACTCTTGACGGGAGCAGCAGGTTGCTTCTATCAGGTTCATCTTTACAGAAAAGTCCAGATAAGAAACGGAAGTTGTTTTATACTTTGAACAGAGTTGATCTTCTTATTTGATGGTGGAGAAACGTCAACCCCCTTCCTCAACAGAATCTCATCAAGAATTCTTTTTCCTGTGACACTGTTTTAAGTGTTTTTTTCCTCTCTTATTGTATTTTATTTATGAAAGTTATATATTGTCTTTATATTTTAGGGGGATCGTGTGTTCCTTCCAATCATAGATGCATATAAATCTTAGAAAGCATACACGGGTGATCAGCTCCTGAAATCTAAATGCTCCATCCCCTGTTTAGATTTGGATTGATCTGTTCTACCCAAGAACTGGTCAAGCGATCTTGTTTGGCATTGTTTTACCCTGCCATTTTAAGTTGTAACGGCTTTTCAAAATCACTAAAAGAATTAAATTAGGACGTCTTGTTTTAAGTTATTTTGAATGGCTCTTCTTCTTTCTGCCGGCCTTTTAAGTTTGGACACTGTGACCCCTGTATAAATCTCGGTCCATTGTTAATTTCTCTGGCATCTTCATCTTTATTAGGTATTCCTTGAATTGTGGCATTGGTGTTAGATCGTTTGCTGAATTTCAGTATTGAAATATATTGCAGCAGAGTTTAAATGCTGTACCTCACTTACAGAGAGTTTCTCATTTATCCTCACAAAAAAAAGATGCAAACCATGCAAATATGCAACTCGTAGGAAATGTTTATTGCAGTGCTTTTGCCCAGAATTTATTCAACTCACATTTTGTTCACCTTTGAGTTTGTCTATTTAAGAATAAGAAGAATTGTCAGAGCAATTTCTAATGATATAATCAGCATCCATGTTATCCTGATACAATGCATAGGTAAAGCTACTGGCTTGTAGTAGTTGGTTAAACTCTGCTCATTGCCTGTTGTTAATGCCTATGCACACAATAGCTATTGGGAATTTGTCCCATTAAAATCTGTGTAACCAACTTATGTAAAAGGTGGTTTTCGTGCAATATGGTTTTAATTTAAACTGTTTTCCTGAAGGTGTGTGATCTAGCTACGCAACCTCAAAAAGATGTTATTCTCAGAGTTTGCTCCTCCAGTCTTTGAAAAGTCACTTCACTAAAGTATCGCTGTTTAAGCAAAAAGTGTTATTTCAGTTTACTTTGATTTTGCAATTTAATTTAAATTTAAAGATACATGTATTTTTGTCATATAAAAATGTTATATTTTCTTTTAAAAGTTGTAATATTCTTTTTTTTAAAAAAACTGTACAAATGTTTAAATATTGTAGGTTTGGGCAGACTTTTCTTTGTGTTTATAATATTAAAGAGAATTACACTGGTCCAGTCTAATGGTCTGATATGAGAATTATATTCTTCTTGCAGTCTTACTTAAAACAGTGGTATCCTGATGTGATAAATGGGAAGTTCACACAAGTGTCATTATTTTTTTTAAAAAAAATCTTGTTAATGTTTCAAATAATGCATCCCCAGTTTTGTTTTGACCTTTCTTCACTATTGTCTAATGCAGGCAACTCTAAGATTCGTGGTCCTCAATGCCCACATGGCAACTCTAAGATTTGTGGTCCTCAATGCCCAGAATTTCCTAGCCTGCATGTCTGGATGAGGAATTCTGAGAGTTTTGAGCCCACAATTTGCCAAGTTTGCAGACCCCTGGTCTAATGAACCCCTTGAGAAATAAAATAGTAGCTGTGCAACCTATCTCAAAAGGAAGAAGTCATCTGTCAAATTCAGAATCCATTTGTCGAAATGAATTGAGATGTCCTATGATCATCCTTAATGAGAAAAACATAATTACTGTATCCATTTTATCTTAATTCTCATTGATTTGGGAGAAGGCCCTGTAAATCACCGCCCCCCTCAAAACTTTATCTTGGCTTTCTCTCCCCCTCTCAGCTGCCTCTTTTTTTTCTCCACCATCCTCCAACATAACTAATTTCTTTATTGATTTGTGGATTATTTACAGCTCTGAGGTGATCCTTGTAACTTTTACAAGCTGCGTGCCGGGGGTGAACTGAATTATACCCAATGGAAATATCCCTCTTCCATATTCTTAAATGGAAGGAAATTGTGGCACATTTTGGGACAAGATAGCTATTGTCTTAACTCCAGGGACTACAGATTTTTATTTACTTATTTATTTATTGCCAACGTACATTTTTACAACAATGGTTCTCAGCCTGAGGGGCTGTGGTGTCATCACAGGGAGTCTGCGAAGTCTTGAAGAAATGTTACGATTTAAATCTTGAGTTAAGTCTTAGTGGTCGGTGGCCGTGGTCAGCGACCACAAAAAAGTATTAAAAGGGGTTCCGTTATGGAGAAAAGATTGAGCCCCCTTGCTTTACAACATAGCAATTGTGACTGAATTCTGGGGGCAGCTGGGGAATTCTGGGAGTTGAAGTTCACAAGTCTTAAAATTGCCAAGGCTGGGCAGACCCCCACCCACCCCCCCATCCCCGATCTAAATGTTCAAGGTGAAAGATTGGTTTACAGGAGAGGTTGCTCCATACAAAGGAGCTAGTGCTGTGTATTAAATTGTGGTAACAAGCAGAGATGTGGTGAATGAATACATCCCTGCCCCACCCATCCTTCAGGTCAACATATGACTAAACCACACCACAGGCATTGTTTGCTGAAGTGATTCATTATTCCAGCTGTCCAGGGTTTGGCTGCCTTTGACAAAAAAATAACACACTAAAACTTCATAATGCAAAGACTCCCTGGCAGATAAGACAGGGTGGGTGCTTGTGACCTGGCAATTCCCATCGTGTTGCTAAGTTATCGTTTTACAAGAGAATGGGCTGGAATGTGAAAAACCAGCAGTTAACCTCCTGTATTCTCCAGCTCTGGCCTAAACTGGAAAAAGATTACTTTGGACAAATGCAGCCCTTTCTCATCCAGTAGAGAATACGTTGGAAAAATAGCTAGTCCTACGTTATTGGTTGTTGATTGAGGGATAGTATATTGCTGAACAACTAATAACTAGAAATCTTAGAAAAAAGACTTAGAAATGAAGGATACTGGAACTTTAGCTCAGGCCCTAAAAGGCACAGATCCCATACCTTCCCTGCCTCAGTTGCTTCAATCAGGTTGTGGGCATCACCAGTAGTGTGCTTTGCAAATATTGCAGTGGGAAGTTAGGGATGTCTATGTTGTTGGGACATTTTTGTGACAATGTTGGACACAAACCTTTTTTGGGAAGAATGTATAAATTGCCTTTGTAAGCTTGGCTTAAGGACGCACCCACAAATCAATAAAAACGAAAAGAGGACCTAGGCATGAACTTAAATGACCACAGCAGATGGTATTAAAAGCCACCTCAATCTGAATTTTTGTCATTCCTGTCATGCTGAAGCTGATGTCATTCCAGATAATTGAGGGGAGAAAAAGAGAAGACTGACCCAGCCTTTCTATTGAAGAAGGAAGAAAGGAGCCATATACAAGTTATACAATGGTCTTTTTTTCTTTCGTGTGGAAGCCAGGAAAAGCTTGGAAATATTCTTGGAATAAAATCTGAGAAATTGCAGCTCAGATCTACATAACATTAATTTGTTTCCTAAGACTACTCTCTCCAAACTAAGTGTTGGTAATTCCTACAGATTAAATGAAATGAGTCACACTGCTTCTTGAATGTAATTTATATAAACAGCAAGGAAAAAAAAAGATGCTGTATAGACTGAATGAATTTTGTCCCAAAGAATTCTCAGTTTCATTTCCAGTTTTGTTTCTTTTTCTGGTCCAAAAAGAAGAAAAAGGATAATATTGAGAAACTTTACCTAGAACCAACATGCATGTGGTTTCCAACCTCATTATTATCTGAAACTCAATACCCTTTTCCAAAACCAGAGTGTGGTATCTCAATTTTCTATTTTTACACAATAATTATGTTGTCGTATTTATGGTGGCTGTAAATCAGCAGTGACCAATTGGACTTGGTGGTTTCTCCTTCAATTAGACACAAACTAATTCACCATAATTAGATAATGAAATTTTATACCAAGCTGTAAATTATGGGATATGGTGTAATGTGATGAGCTTTCTTTCTGGAGTATTTAAACATCTAATTAATTCAATTTATCTGTTGTATCTTAAGATGGTGAGGGTAAAAGAAGGCAAAGCTTCAAAACAGCACGGGCTCATCTTACTTCCATGCAATTCAAACGGTTGAGTTTTCCATCCTGAAGAAAGCAAGATGTCTCTGATACCAGTGCATGAAACAGTTTAACAGGATCACTCAAAATTTACAAGGTTCTTAACAAAAAGTTCGGCATTTGTTGATCCACGAGTTCTGTTCCAGTGGCCCAACTGTGATCTCCACAACATCTGCAACCCCAGGCAAATATATTGCCTCAAAATTATCTAGCTTATTATGCCTGATCCCATATTGTAACTTCCCTGGCAGTTTGTCAGTTTACAGAAAAACACCCCCTCCTATTTTTGCAAAATAGCTCTTACTCAAAGATGCACTTTGGTTCTGTGGGGGGGGGGGGGACAATGAAATTTCTTTGGATAGGGTCTTCTATTTTTCCCAAGTCCTTGTCTGGAAAGGTCTCGCGTAACATAAAAACTGGAATGACACCTACAAGTTCTCCTGGGCACCAGAATTATTCCCTGTACTTCTTTCTTTCTTTTGCTGATCGAGGAGATCTTTAATCAACCTATCCTACCTTGATTGCTAAGGATTCAGATGTCCTGGTAGTCATGGGGTGGCTGTCACTGTGATTGTAACATTAACTGGATCCTCAGGAGGCGGACTGGGGGCTGGCACACCTTCCTGGGCCCTTGATGGATCCTCTGAGGTCACCACAGCTTCCTCTTGAATTGCTTCTGCAGAAAACAAATCATATATATATATAGCAAGTGCCGATGAGCTGATGGAAGAGGAGCATTCTCTAAGTAGAAATTCTGAAACCCAGCTGTTTCCATTCTTTGTTTCAATGGTTTCCAGATTCATGTTCAACATCAACAGATGATCAGGGCCCACCAATAACAACTGAGAAGAAGGAGTTTTGTTTGCTAATCAATGTGTTCCAAGGGGCATGGTCTTCTAGAACAAAAGGCCATAACAGAGGGATGGATGACCAAACAAAACGGGAGTCTTATACCTTTGCCAATGTACAAACTAAAAATCTGAAAGCAATCAAGACCCTTATGAAACTCTGCCGTGTATCAAATATCTCTTTGATTACAGGAACAAGGAAGCTATTTTTATGCCTTTTGAGGAGCTGGCTATTTCTCTCTTCCCAAAATAAAATAAGCCAGCTATTTTTCAGTTTAAACAACAGCTTGCAAATTTGAACACTCTTTCAATAATCAAGTTTTAAATAGCCTCTCCCCCCCACTCCCCGTTTTTTAAATTAAATATATGGATTTGCTACTTTACCTGGGAAATGTGTGGCTGAGCATGGAACTGAGTATCAACAAAAAGGTTTTGGGGCCAATGGCATATCTACACACTATGCCTCAAGAGGAAATATATCTGCAAGCACACACCTGCGTGATGTAAGCTCCTAGGAAAGCAGGAGTTGGGTGTTACCCCCAAAGACACATTTACTTGCAGAATTTTGATTTCCTTCTCTAATACCCAAAGGTGCAGCAATTAGGAAGACCCTTTGGCAAAACTTTCCACCTTCAAGGGTTCTTTTCCAGTGTTGCCAAGGTCTGCTCTTGAACTGATTCATTCAAATAAGGTAATGTGCTGAGACTTCTCTGAGATTAATCAGGGGTTTACCTGCTGGTGTTTCTCCAGTTGTTGTGGAAGTCTCTCCCACCTGCTCGCTCGCTTCTTCAACTTGCTCATTGGCTGCATCACTAATCCCTGTTGGCATCTCAGCATCCTCTGGAGTCCTGATTTGTTCACGAGTTTCAGCTCCAGCCCTAAGGAGGAGAGATGCACTGACCTATAGTCGGCGCTTTGCAGTGGTGGGATTCTGTTGGTTCACACCACTTTGGTAGAACCGGTAGCTAATTTTTTGTTGCCCGGGCCCAGAATGGACTTCCAGAAGCGGTTGTTCCCATATTTGAATCCCAACACTGGCCTTATGAGGTAGATCAGACTGGGAACATGAGCAGATGAGCTAATTTTACTTTATTGTAAGGCAGCATTAATAGAATCTTGCAATTGTGAAAGTAGAAAACTTCCGCCATCACTTTTTCCTGCCTGGTAAGTTAGGGTGGATCCTTTCTAAGCCTCTTACTCAGTTGTGGACTCCTCCCTCTTTTACCTCATCATTTACCTTTCCATTACATTCCATTGCTAGTCCCTACTACCTGTTGCCATAGCTTCTCCCCCCTGGCAGTGAGCCAGAGTGGTCAATAAACCTATCTGCAATGAATGTGATTTAATTATTGTGGGCTGGTCTTGAATGTATCATGCTTTCTTATCTTTTTCGTTCTATCTGAATATACTGGTTTTAATCCTACATGAGCCACCCAGAGTTATAATTTGTGAATTGGGCAGCAATATCAATGGATTAAACAAATAAACAAAGGGTAAAGCATGCCTGTGTGTATACATGTCTATCTAAATCTCTCTTTAAATATCGATGCCAGATTAATATCCACGGTGATGTAAAGTTCTGGAAAATACAAACTACACACTTTGAGAAAGCTCAGAAGATTCTACTTGATATAGATGGCTAGAAATATTAACCAGCTTTTCCCAAACAGGTCTTCTTTAGATGTGTTGAACTGCAGTTCCTGGATTGTCTACAGATCACTGGCATTATAACCCAAGATAGCTATAGGACTGTAGACTGATGAGAGGGTATAAGAGCAAGAATTCAAAGTGAGAAAGTGGGGGGGGGGGGGAAAATAAGAGACAGAAAGGAAAAAAATATGAGGTGTCACTTACATTCTGAAGAGCAGGTCATGTAACCCTATGTGATAGGAGAAAGAAATCCCATTTTAGAAACTAATCTGCAGAACAGCTAAACTATTCAAGGGTACATTAACAAGGACTTTAGAGAGACTCTAGCCCTGGCAATGCCATGTCCTATCTTGTAGGGAGAATTTGCAATTATGTTCCACAAGCACCAGCTCAGAACATCGTATTTCCATCCTGCTAGGACTGTTAGGGGTAAATACAATTTCTGCTTAATGATGGCTCTCTGCTGAGGTATAACTATTGAACAATATACTTTCCGTTATTTTAGTGATACCTTCAGTATTCATGAAAGAGCCAGGGTGGCACAGTGGTTAGAATGCAGTAGTGCGGCTAACTCTGCCCACTGCCAGGAGTTTGATCCTGACCGGCTCAAGGTTGACTCAGCCTTCCATCCTTCTGAGGTCAGTAAAATGAGGACCCAGATTGTTGGGGGACAAAATGCTAACTCTGTAAACTGCTTAGAGAGGTCTGTAAAGCACCATGAAGTGGTATATAAGTCTAAGTGCTATTGCTGCTTTATCATATGGTCTTTAATGCACAAAACCTGCTAATGGGAAGAGAAACAAACCATAGCCATCTCAGAATCTTTGGCTTGCTGGCAGAACTAAAGTAAGGAGACAACCACTGAAATGACTTCCCAGAAAGATGAGTGGGTGACTCGACAATTTCTGACTTTTTGTCCTTGAAAAAAACTTGAAGAATTTTCAGAAGTCCCATAACCGAGCTGCCAATTGCCCCCACAGCAACTACCACTCACTTGGATTATTCTCCCGGTTCCGAATGATGTATTGAAAAACTAGGAGAGAGATGACTGTGGCCACAATCATTCCTGCCATAGCAGCACCGATCACTACAGGATATGCATTGAAAGGAGGGTCAGCTGCAAGAGAGAAGAAGCAGTAGATGAAGGCAGTGGAGCTCTACCAGGACCAGCTCTTCAAGGCTTTGGAGAATGATGTGCCAGATGTGCTTTCTGTTATTTTAGCCCCTCCTTCTCTTGCCCAATGATTTCCAGATGGATTGAAGTTCAGCTCATCAAATTCACCATCTGGCTAGAGGTTTATAGGAGCAGAGGCACATCTGCTTCATTCTTTAAGAAGAAGGTTCTGGAAGCAATAGTTTGAGCTCCATGGGCTTATTGTTTATAAAATGGGTGCCAAGGTGGATTAGTTGGAGGATATTTATTTATCAGAAAGCAAATGATGATCCACCATTAGGTCAATAATGTCTTCTAATACAGTACTTCAGCATCTTTGATTTTCAGATAGACACATTTCTGAACAAAGCTCCAGGGGTTGCCAACTACTACCACTCTTTTGTTCTAAGAAACCTGTAGGAATCATGTCAACCTCAGAGGCTGCCCTGGAAATGAATGTCCACTTTTCAGCATGCCAGCAGCACAGTTTGCCCTTAATTTTTCAAGAATTAAATGATATAGTTCAGTTAGAATAAGGTTCTTTGTAAGCACCAAGAAACTCTCCATGGGATTATTCTTTCTGCAATAGCTTCCTGGTATGCTTGTCAAATTTTAGCGTGTTTTTATGTTACTTCCTTCCCTTCACCTTCAAGCAAAAAGAAATATTATCTCTCCTGGAAATATCTGTGGTAAATGATTGTATAGGACAATCATTACTTTGGGCTTGCTGTTTCCTTGAGATATGGTTTGACCTTGTGCATGAAATAGCCCTACTGTTGGTCTGCTTTAGAAACCATCTTCACTAGATGTGAAGGTGGTCATTGTCTGAATTGAGGAGCCCTGTTGGCAAACCATCATCAAAGCACCTGATCAAGAGGACATCTTCCTCCCTTCCCTCACGCGCCATTCCTGGGCAAAGAGATTAAAGCTTTTAAGAGAGGAACTGGTTTGGGCAAAGTCAAAGGGAATGAGGTTAAGCAAGGGCCTCTGTCCTGATTAAATTGTTCCCCTCTTTTGCCTGTAGCTAATTTTAAAGAGGGCTGTTTTCTTAAACTATCAGGAGATCCAATTACGGAACTCTCGTGTCAGCAAGTTGTTCTTGCCCTCGGCAACTCTGCATCTTGGGACGATTCTTTCTCTGCCAAAGGAAACCTCAGTGAGGCTTTACACAAACTCCTTTCTGGCCTTTTGGTTCTCCGAGCGGATCTTCCACTCCGCATCTGTTTCCAATCGCCTCCGTTTTTTCAAGAGAAGACGACTTTGCTTGTTGCTCTTGAGCACTTCATTTTGCTTTGCACCTTCCAAAGGCTCTCCCCAAACCTCGCCCAGGCTTGCTTGTTACAACAGCTGCTGCCCTTCTGAGGAGAAAGGATGAGGCAGCCATCTTTGTTCGCACACCGCAGCGTTCGCTCAAAATCACCAAGAAGGCCAAGGTCAGAAAAACAGGCAATTTTGCTCTCGTGCCGTCTGATCAAATCCTGCTTTTGCAGGACAAAACTCGGCCACAGAAGGAAATAGCACATCAAGAACAGGCAATGTTGCTGAATTTCTTCGGTTCTTCTCCAACTAGGTCATAATGACATGAGGGCCACCTGCTAATTGTCTACATACAGTGTTCAAGGTGACTTGGAGGTTCCACGCAATTGTAAATTGTATTGTACTTTTTTTTCCTCTAGGCCAGAGGTAGGCAACCTTGGCTCTTTTATGACTCGTGGACTTCAACTCCCAGAATTGCCTACCCCTGCTCTAGGCAATGGGTACTCTTCATAAATCAGCATTCCCATGTGCTTATTAATTCAGAGGAAGGCAAGAAGATGCAAACTTGAATACCCATCTGATCAAGAGGCCAGGTCTTTTCTGCTGCATAAGGACCTTTCATTTCTTTATATTTGGCCAGTCTTATAGCAAGAGCACAAATCTGTCAACGTGGGAAGAGATTTTTCACCACAATCAGGAGAACAAGCCCGGACATTATTTTGTAAGGAGCCCTTTAGCACATTCCAAGAAGGTGAAGTACATTTCCCCCCCCCCCAAAAGAAGACTAATTCAAAGCAAGAAAGATGAACTTCGTCATGTAATTAAGAAGTGATGTCATATAGAGATGAAAATCCTGTCAAAGACCATCTCTCCACACACCCCACCCCAATCGCCACCTTGAGAGTGGTGTGCAGCCACCCACATGACCAAGATCTGCAACTCTCATGCAACAGAGCAAGACACACGGAGGAGAAACTCAGGTGCACCAAATGCAGAGATAGAATAGCACACTGGAAGGCAAAGAGAGATTCAAAACAGATGCTCTGGAAGAAGCAATGGTAGAAATGGTTCTTTCTGGCCATTCTACCCCCGCCACTACCACCATCACCATCTCAGAGTAGCACTTGTTATAGTTATTTTAAATTGAAGAGCCCTCAGAACTGAATATGGAATGTTGCCTTTGATCAGGTCAGCCATATTTTCGTAGTTAGCTCAGAACTGTCTTTTCGGGAAGGAGGTTTCCAGGAACTGAGGCAGCACAGGCTTTGAGAAGGAGAAGGGACAAATCTAATTATTTTGCTTATTTATTCCCCACCTTTGTTATTTTTACAAATAATTCAAGGAGACAAACAACACAACACTCCTTCCGCCTGCTATTTTCCCCACAATAACAACTCTATGAAGTGAATTGGGCTCAGGGAGAGTGACCAGCCCAAAATCACCCAGCTGGCTTTCATGGCTAAAGCGGGACTAGAACTCACAATCTTCTGGTGATTGGCCCAAAGTTACCAACTAGCTTTCATGGCTACATTGGGATTAAAACTCACAGTCTCCTGGTGATTGGTCCAAAGTCACCTAGCTGGCTTTCATACCTAAGGTGGGACTACAATTTATTATAACTAGTCCTAGTCATGCACCTTGTCATAATTTATCATAAGTAGGCCTAATTATCCAGCTCATTATTATAATGTATTATAATTAACTATAATTACATTATACTACTTCACAAAGTCTCATAGAAAGAGAGGTGGACGTATAGATTGCACATATACATAACCTGCTGTTCTTTCTGGCATCCCCAATGAAGTCCACTATCTCCTGCATGCAGAAAGGAGCAGGCTTGACCCTCTCATCTAAATGCTCAACTGCCACCTCTTCCTTTTGAAGAACACCTTCCAAAACAGCTGGTTTTCCATACACCTGTGAATGTGATCAATAGAGCTAGCTACTTGAATGCACCTGGGGTCTTCACTTCAGAGGGATACCCAGTGGTACGATGGTTAACAGCAAGGATCCGAAAAGCATACACCACTGCGGGATCCAGACCACCCAGCTTTCGGCCACGGACATCGGGGTCAATGTTATTGGCCACTGTTTCCCAGCTGCTGGTCATCTGCTTTGGGCCGGTCTTTTTTGCTTCTCTCCTCTGGACTACAAAGCCAGTCAGGTTTCCTGAGCCTCGAGTTTCCCATTCCAGTTCCACCTCTGTACGGGGGCGAGTGTACATCAGTCTGCTGATTGTCACATTGGGTGGGTTGGGGTATTCTGCGAAGGAAAGAAAAGGTGTACGGTTGTTGTTTGTTTATGAATCAGCATTCTAGAATCCCTCCCTCTTCCATGGGGCATCTTTAGTTTGGGAAGCAAAGGCATAAGAGAAAAACGATGGACAGGACCCCCCTTTGTCCCATGGCAATAAAATGCAAACAATCATTGAAAGAAATTAGGAAAAAAAATCAAAATCATAAGAAGTTATAGAAGCAGGATCCTCCTCTGCAGGGAAAGAAAACTTGGAGAAATTGGAAGACACATGTGGACATGGTATTCCCACTCCATGGATTTATGCTTCCCAGGTTTGGGCGATGTAAAGGAGTTTTGTGGTACACCTCAAGAATCAATGGATGATCATTAATCAAGGAGAGAAGCAACCTAGAATAAGGAGAAATTTCCTGAGAGAACAATCAGTGGAACAATCTGCCTCCAGAAGTTATGGATGCTCCAACACTGGAGGTTTTTAAGAAGAGATCTGTCTGAAAGGGTATGGTATGAAATGAGCAGGGGGTTGATCTAGAAGACCTCCAAGGTCCCTTCCAACTCTGTTATTCTGTTATTCAACTTACTTTTTACCTGGAGGCTGATTGTGGCAGAGTCATTGCCCACAGCATTAATAGCAGCACATCGGTAAATGCCGCTATCCCGTATCCATTCTATGTCCTGGAGGGTCAAATTAAACCAAGTATTCTCCTGCTGAAGATGGTATTTCCTAGTGTTTGCTGTAATAGGCTGGTTCTTATTGTTGTACCACAAGACTTCAGAGCCCAAATAAGCACCTTGGAGGAAGCAGGCCAACTGGACCTCACTGCCTTCAAACAATGACACCTTGGACCGTTCCACCATAAGCTTGGGGGGTTCTGTGCATAAAACAAAGCAAAGTAGAAGAAACTAAGTCTCAAAACCATCAGCTTAAAGAAGAGCAGTAACCATGCTGTGATCTTTCTCTCCACCCCACAACGACTCTGGACCTTCAACATCTAGATGGATGCTTTGCCTGAAGCACATCTACCTTCCCAATGGGAACAACCTCATACATTAACATTCTAGTAAGTGACCAGCAAAGTCCACAGTGGCAGCCATATTGCCAAAGTAGTTCTGCATGTTCTCGAAATATCTGGCCAGCCCTCCAAAAATTACTTGCTCTGAATTTTTCCTGCTTTGCAACAATCCTCCAAATTCTCAGGAAGAGGCTTCTTCACCATTGGCTCCGTGATCTTTTCAAATTGGAGGATATCTAGGACTGAGCCCAAGATCAAAGGGAAGGCCAAGTATAGCACTAGAGGACAATTTGATTACATGATTCAGTTGTGACTGAATAAAGAGACAGGGAGGAAGGGATCACCTTGGGACAGGTAATGGAACAGTGTCCTTCACACTGCAATGAGCCAGGCAGTCCTCCCTTGACTTTGTTATTCTTTCTTGACCCATATTTATCTGCTTACCCAGCCGGACATGGCACTCAGCAGTTCTTGCCCACAGAGGGTGAGCTGCCATGCAGGTGAACGCCTTGCCTCCAAGGGTGGTGTTGGGCTTCATGATAAAAACATTGTGTGATGGTTTCATGCCTCCCAGCACATGATGCCTCCAGTCTCTCCACCAGAGTGTCACCTGAGGATTTCCCCCTGGCCAGTCACAGGTCAACATGAGGAATTCATTCAGTTTGGTCGCTATGACACTGCAGGTCAGGCTCCGTTTTGGAACCCCTGAAATGAATTGGTAAGATTTCAGAGGCAGCTTGCCTTGGCGTACTTCCTCGGATTCCTAACAATTGTGATTATTAGTAAGATAACTTTTCATAAATAAGACTAATTAATGAGCCAGAGACATTATCATAAAGAGGAGTCCAACAAATTATTATAATCTATGATAGGAAGGAAGGAAGGAAGGAACTGTGCCTGAATATTGAAGGAGGTTGTAACCACCCTGACTGCATAGAGTTTTTTGTCCCTGTAATTGCATTTCATTAAAAGAAAAGAAGGGGAAGTTTAATTAGTCATAGATTGTTGCTGTAGCATAATTAGCATTTCAGCGTCAACATTTGGGAATCTCAACATCTGTCTCTGAGAATAGCAGGAGGTTGGTACTCACAGACAGTGGTCCTGCAAATGGCATCCTTTCGCAGGGCTGGATGGGAAGCCAGGCAGATATAAGAAGTCCCATTGGGAACATCTGCACCCTGATGGATTTGAATAGCTCTGGAGAAGCTTCCCATGTCGGTTTCTTCTGCCCTCGATTTTGCCCACCGCAAGCGCACTGAAGGGAATCCCCCTGGCCATAAACAATGCAGAGCAAGGTCTTGGAAATTGGAGGCAGGTAGCGACATGCAGTTGAGCTGTCCCTTGGGCAGATCTGTGCACAGGGTAAACATCATATCAACAGCAACGAGGACTTACTGGGGCCAAAAACATCCATGGAGGAAATAAATGAATAAGGTGGTGGTGGCAAAGAGCAGGGTCCCATCCCTGCTGCTTTGGGATTAGACACAAAAGCTTCTTTGACCCACAATCTTTGACCCATCCATCTTCTCCATGCCCACCCAAATCATTGCTCTCACAAGCCAAACTCTATCCAAAGTTGACCAGCAGTTTGTGCATTGTCCTCCTCAGAATCTCATGACTTCTTGGCCAGGACAAGGAGATATAACAGATATTTGCTTACTCTTTGCATTGGCATAGTGGGGAGAGCTTTGATGGCAGAAGTGGCATCAAGAAGCTGAAGGAGACAGAGAACCCTTGCTGTGAAAAAAAGTTGGCCACTGCCTGCTTGCAGATATTCCTTGGTGGGAAAAGAAGCTGGGGGAAAGGGTCTACTGCCCTCTCTCTTTACACTTTCCATTGGTAATTGCACTAAACCATGGAGCTGAGAGTTATATGGGCAAACTCATAATTTATGGCTTCCTCTTTTGACACCCTCATATTTTTTTTAAGCATTGAATTCCTTTGGTTTTCCATCTCTGTAAATCCTCTCAGCCATCTTAACTTGTTTCTTGCCCAAGAACACAGTCATCAGTACAATAGTTTACATGAATGCATTATAAAGTCCTGGGTGTTGGGTCAATATCTTTGAAGTGGTCTTCAATGAAATAATGTCCTATGTCAGCAGTGGTGAACCTATGGCATGTGTGCCAGAGACGGCACATGGAGCCCTCTCTGTGGGCACGCGCCATCGCCCCAGCACATGTGGTCTCTAAAAGTTTGCCATCACTGGCCTAAGGCCAGCCAGCCTGGAGCCGCCATTGGGGAGCCCACCATCCCACCTGCCAGAGACCCCCCTGGATCTCCCCCAACCCTGCCCGGCTCTCACAGGTGTCCCTCCCCATAAGCAACATCAAGGTGGCCACGCCCACCCCAGCCATGGCCACCCAGTCTGCCATGACTACTGCAGCCGCACCCATCCAGTGGCATGCCCACCCAATCTGCCACGCCCACTGTAACTGCACCCACCAAGTGGGCCACACCCACCCAGCACCCAGTGATACATAAGTGGGTTTTGGGTTGCAGTTTGGGCACTCAGCCTCTAAAAGGTTCGCCATCACTGTCCTATGTAAATTCTAGCTCTGATCTCAAATAAGTTTGTGTCCTCTATATGATGATGGTTTCATTTGTGAATTTATTTAGTTTGTAAAGAAACATCAGGAAAATGAGTGTCTCTCACACACCCCACAGCTCAAATTCTTTATGGTACCATCCAGATAAAACAGCATCACGTGATAGTGGTGATGGTATAGAAATTGGGAGGCTGTACATAATTTCAGGGAATCTAAGGATCTCACAGGTTGCTCTTTGAGATGTTGCTTGTTTTGAAATATCCTAGCTTAATTTGGTCAATGTTGCTATCAAACATCTATTTCAATAGTCCACAGGCAACAAACATCGCAACAAAGAACCTGCTTTGGTCCACCTGAAGAACATCTGGCTGCTCTCTGCTGCAAGACACAAAAGCAACATTGACCAATGACTATTTTCCCATTATATTAATTCTTTTAGCAAATTGGCCTCCTTCTCCATGGCTAATCCATACAGTAATCCATGGATTTTTTTTTCACTTTTGTTTCTCTTTTGCAAAAAAGACAATTTGAAGAATTTGACCAGAAAGAACAGAGACTACTGACAAAAGACATAAAAGACCTGGCCACATGAAAAATAATAATCAGGGTACAGAAAAAGAACTGTCTATCATTCTGTCAGAAGGGATGCTAAAATGTGACTACAGAAATTGGCAACCATGGTAGAAGAGGCAATCACCACCTTCTTTTGGATTTGATATTTTACACCAAAATTATGTTGACATTTTTCTTTTGGCATCTTTTCAGCTCTGCCAGGATGGTAAAGTTTGGAATAGTGAATTTGAAAAAAAAACAAAAACAAATCTAGAAGACCGAGGGATAGGAAGCAACAGAACATGCTAAAACCTCATGCCTGGGAAGATAGGAAAAGGTAACTTACAATAGACAGTCAAGATAATAGTTGCCTGGGTCCGAGTATTCAGATGCATATTCTGGGCTAAGCAAGTATAGATGCCTGTTTGAGTCCGTGAGATTCTGGCAATCACATACTTCTGTCCGGAGTAGACTTGAGAGCTGTTGTAGAACCAAATGTAGTGGCTGGGAGGATTGGAAGGAGCTAGACATGTCATGATCACTTCTTCTTGTTCATTGGCTGAGAAGCCATGTTGGTTAATTGCAAATGGCTCTATGTTGATCACTGGCTCATCTGGACCATCTATAGAAGATTAAACTGGTTAATAGAATGCAATCTGAAGAAGGTACTTCTGTTGATGAGATGCTGAGCATCTGAGGATAGACCTCCCCAGTCTGGTGTGCTTCTAATCCCCTAGAGTTCCTATTCAATCAAGTCAATACATCAGGATCAGAAGTGGACCAGAAAAGAAAAAAATCTGACACAATCCTCTTCATTAGGAATTGTCTGTTTTATTTAATGGTCTACACCTGGCAAGATTAAGATCTGATTGGCTGCACAGAGTTTCCCCAAAATAGAAAAAAATGGCCTTATTGACCGGTTGCTTACAGATAACGTCAAGGTACATCCCATTGCTGGTTTGACTGTTGACCTCATTGTGAGCTGTGCAAGTGTACCAACCCATGTATGTCCGGTTTGCTGAGGTCAAGTTTAAGAGAGGTGTCACTGCTTCGGCAAGAACTACCGTGCCATCTCGGTTAGTGTAGCGCTGCCAAGAATAAGCAATAGGAGGTGTCCCTTCTTTCACTGTGCAGATCATCACAACCAGCATGCCTTCCACGGGTGTTGAATTGTTTATCTGCAGAAAGGGCTTGGGAACTGGGACTGGGGAGAAAAGCTTACTTAAGAACCTATTTTACTTAACCTTCCACCCTACAACAAGTGGGAAAAATGATTTCAAAGATTTGGTAGCAAAAAGATTACTTAATTCTGGCTTACATTGCAAATACAGTGGGTTGAAGTCCCGGAGGACTTCAGCTTACACTTATTTTTTTTTTACGGTATTTAGTTTTTAATTTTTATTTTTTTTATTATTTTAGACCAACAAAACAAAACAAAACACAACAAACATTACACACATACACACGTAATATATCCTTTTTTGTTAACAGCAGTTTGTAACAGTACTCTTCTATTCTTTACATTTCCCCCCTCTTTCTTCTTTGAAATATTTGTCCTTATTGCCCCATTGTTTCTTATTTACATTTTCCTTCTTTCATATTCTACTACTTACTAGGAATCCACCATTATTCATTGTGGTAACACTCATATTTTTTATAACACTTGACCGGAATTCCATCTAAGCATGGTGATCATACAAATATTCTCATATTATTTAGTGCATATACTGTTTTTACTCTAATACTATTTCCAACATTAAAATTCACCCCTTTTCATCCAAGTATATTTATTTAATTTTATTTTTCTTTGACATATATAATAATTCCTCCTTTCTTGTTTTATGCTAATATTGTGTATAATGTTTCTAAATTTTACTTTCTCTAGTAATTTTCTATAATCCTATTTTATGTAAACTTCCTAAAGATACATCACATCTACATCCAATTTCCTTAAATTTTTAAACGTCTAAACCCTTTTTCTTGATATATTTAATCCATTAATATTTATAGAAAAGAGCTTAATTACGTCTCCCATTTTTAACTTGATCTATTTTTTTGTTTTTATTTTGTTTTATGCTTCTTGTCTCTATAAGTCTTCCTTTTGCTTCTCTTTCTAACCTTTCTCTTTCTTGTAACTTTTGTATTTCTCGCTCTTGATCAACTTCCTCTAATAGATCTTCATCATAACTTTTAATCTCCGGTCTTCCCTACTTTCTTGTTCTTCTCCTTGTGAAAAGTAACTCTCATAAAAGTCCAGTGCTTTCTCAAGTGTATCTACACTTATATAGAGACCATTACAGGCTTGTTCAGACAAGAGGCAGGAATGATGGGCTTGGGTGTTTTTTTTCCATAATGCAGATTTTTTTTTTTTTTTAAGCATCTGAACATTGCAACAGAGAAGTTCTTTGCCTCCCTTCCTCTGCTGAAAACGCCAAGCTAACTGCCCAAGGAAAAATAACAAGTCAAATTCTCTTGTGATCAAAGGCAAAGATGAAGTATTGCTGAAGGTGAATGACATACCTGGGAGAGAGAATCCTCCATCAGCCAAAAAGCTTTAATAATTTGAGTTTGACTAGCCTGATTCGGGGCACAAACAGCTGGCCAGGGAGCATCAACATTGAAAGGCTATTTGCAACATTGTGCAAGGAGAAAGGTTTTATTCCTTTTTAGGGATGTCAGAAGGTACATTTCTCTCTCTCTCTCTCTCTCTCTCTCTCTCTCTCTCTCTCTCTCTCTCTCTCTCTCTCTCTCCTTTCTTTTTTTTTTCTTTCCACCTGTCTCATCTAGAGGCAATATTTCTTTTAGCAAGGAAAGGGTTAGGTAGAATATAGGGTCTTTATTTAGAAGCAGGAATAGTTCCTTTGGGTCCGACAGGATTATGAGGAGACTAAGGAATTGAACCTGATCCCTCTTGGTGTCTGCAAGATCAGTCCTGGAAATCAACTCTCAGCTCATTTCAGCCACAAACACTCTATTTCCTCAGAAGCCGTGACTTACCCAAAACGAGAAGCTCAAGGTAGAAATAAGCCACTTTGATCTCTCCATCTACTTCGTACATTGCTTGGCACATGAAATGTCCTTCAGCAGCTTGTTGCAGTTTCTTAATCTCTAAAGTGCAGTTCTTCAAACTGACTTCCCCCAGAATGGCAGAGGCCTTCTCCACCCTGGACTCAAGGCCATTGCTGATGGCCACGGCTCTGGGAATGAGGGAACCCGGTTTGGTGAAACTCCAGAAAACAACCATCGGCTGCACAATGTCACCACATGCCAGCCTCACTGAGCGGTTATACACCCCTTTGACCATTTGCTCATCATATTCTGCATCTTCCAAAGGGTAAAGCTGACCTGGGGGAAGAATGAATGAATGAATGAATGAATGAATGAATGAATGAATGACCAATCAATGCCAAGCTTTCAGGCCTCTCCAATGACTCATAAGCAGGTTTTCTTTTATGAATAAAAATCAGTTGGTTCTCCTCTCATTCAGTTTAGGAAGACAGGAGCTTCATAGAATCCATATACTCCTGAAGACCAATTTCTTGAGGAGGCCAACAGAGCAACAAGATTACTTAAATGATTCATTTCTAAGCCACTTTTAAGAGGGAGAACCATTTCGAGCTTGTGGCTTTGGACAATGGTGGGATTCAGCCAATTTGCACCACTTTGGCAGAACCGGTAGCCAATATTTTGTTGCCCAGGCCCAGAATGGACTTCTGGAAGTGGCATCCACACAGAGAACCGGTTGTTCCCATATTTGAATCCCACCACTGGCTGTGGACCAAAAGACGTTAGCCTTTGATCTGGTCCAGCACGTTGCTCCACCTGTGTTCAGTTCTCAGCCAGCCTTCCTTACTTTAGCACCTCCATCTGATTGCTATGATCGTCTTATACACCTCTAAATGAAGCTTTCATTTTACTTGACTGTTTTGTTCTTACTGTATAGTTATCTTTTATTTTGATACGGTTGGCTTTCATCCACCCATCAGAACTGTAAAGAATGAAGAAGGGTTTGAACATAGTGAACAATGAAGAAGAAATGAATAAATATAGCTATGTGTATGTATGTGACAGAATCGGTGGAAACCTGGAGAAGTTGCTCTTAGAAGTTACATTTCCTCATATTGAGGTTCTAATCATTGTTCTGTTGATCCTAAAGCAACATCTGTTAGGATGGATTATTCATAGGTAACAGCTAACATTTTGGCTGTTTTTAAGCAAAGAAAAAAGAGGCACACACAAATCCTGCACCATTGCCAATATAGCAACAATACATTTGATAGCAAATTTGGGCATTCTGTTTTCACAGGGTTTTTCAGAGATGCAAATGCCAGCATTAAAATTCTCCAGTGTTGTTTTTGTCCCTTCAGAAATTGGCAAAGAAAGAAACAAAGTCTGAAGAAATTAATAGCATCTCAGAAAAAAAAGTCTAAATTGCAGACAATAGGCTGTCTTCAAAAAGAATGCTTCTATTAGGAAAATTCACACTGAAAAACACGAACATCAAAATATAGATATTTATGTATTGATGAATGCAAGCTAGGTCGTTTGTATTTTAAGCAAAATGTTTAATGAAATTTACATTTACAGTGAAATAAATTATGGGAAGAGGCATGGAAAGTGTCCAGGGTATTTTTGGTGAGATGGGCTGCCCTACAAATTTGATAAATAAATAACTATAATACTTACACAATAACTAGAATAGTTACACAACACCACAAATGTAAATACAAATATTTTCTATAACTTTTTTTTAACTTCAAGGAACACACATACACACACACACACACACACACACACTTTTTAGACTTCTGTACTACCAACTGTGTACCCTGGGCTGAATCTCAACTTTTGTGATAGCAACATGTTCTACACCGCATCTAAGATCACAACCAGGCTGTCATATTCACAAACAAGAGAAGAATTCAAAAAATACAAACAGGAGGCAGCCATCAATGTATCTTTACAGCTTTCCTTCAAGTCCATTATCTTAGGACTGAGCCTCTAAATATTGCACCATTGGGACTCCCAAGCAAAAAAAAAAAGAAATATATTTTGCTTGTTTCATAGGTAGATATACATAATATTTTTTGCATTACAGATAGCCTGGCAAAATTGCTAACAGATTACTCACCATAAGCTACTGCTGGGAGGATATAAAGGATTTTCAGCAGGTTGTTAAGGTGTAGCTTCTTTACCAATCCATAATCCATTGCTCGATGTCATTGCACAAGACAAGACCCAGAAGACAGACCCTATGAGTTCCTTCTAGAGCAGCACATCTCCCCAGCTTCCAGGCAAGCCATGGACTTTTTCCACTTCCTCTCTTCTGCAGATTTACTAACCTCTGTGACTAGGGGACAGGTCTCTCTGTCTCTTCTTTCAGTCTCTCAAAGATAAAAAATGCAGCCCTCATTAGGCTCGGATTACTCCGAATCATCCCCGATTAATCTTCAATTATTCATTTATTCTTCTTAATCTCATTTCCTCAATCTATTATGCAGAAGCTCCTGTAGAGAAAGAATGGAAATACAAGTCAACCTCCTTTGGTTTGAGCCTCTTGAAGTTGTGGTTTCATACTAATGAAAGATAAGGACTGAAGGCATTAAAGTCACTGGAGATTTTGAACAAGAGACTGGACAACCACCTGTCTGAGCAGTATAGCTTCTCCTGCTTGAGCAGGGGGCTGGACTAGAAGACCTCCAAGATCCCTTCCAACTCTATTCTATTCTATTCTATTCTATTCTATTCTATTCTATTCTATTCTATTCTTACTCTACTCTACTCTATTATTTCTAGTTTGCAAGCCTGTCATGCAATCATATTTCTTTGGACATTTTTTTTTTAATGGCAGAAGAATAACTTTTTTCTTGGTCATATTTGAAGGCACACTCAGGAGCAAAGTCAGTCTCGCTCTTCCTGGGTTGACAGATACCACTGACTGAAAGCCTTTTAAATTTCCGATATGCCCATATTGAACACCTACAAAATGTGAGAAAGCCCTTAGCCATAAATAAATAAGCAAAGTATAAACAACAGATATATGGAAGAATTCTAATCATTCTTACAATTGCTAAATAACCTATATTCTTTGATGTATATTCTATACTTAGTTTGAAATATTCCTTCTGGCAAATTTCGTAAAAAGCTTTCCTTTACTAACTATTTTAACATCTTTCTAAGTATTGTTTTAGGCTGAGTGATCATTAATTACCAGGACCATATTGGTTCTCCTCTTTGCGCTGAAAACATTATTTTCTGGAAATAGTGGACACCCAGCAAACTTCAGCTAAGGCTGGTATTATAGAGAACATTTATATATAGGGCATGGATATTTATAATTATGAACACCAGGAGTTATATTGGAAATATGAATGGATGGACGGACGGATGGATGGACAGACAGACGGATGGATGGATGGATAGATGAATGGACTGATGGACAAACAGACAGATGGATTGATAGATGGATAGATGGAATGATGAATAGATGGATAGACAGACTGACAGATGGACAGATAGGTGGAGAGGTGAACAAGCAGACAGACAGATGGATGGAGGAGGTATTCTCCTTGATACTTTAGAACAGTGGTTCTCAACCTGTGGGTCGAGACCCCATTTGGGGTCGAACGACCATTTCATGGGGGTCACCAAACAACGCAGTCCGCCATTTTTCCCCCCTTTTTCTTAGCTGTGCTACTCCCTTTTATTCTATTGGCTTTTGAAAGCCAATAGAATAGACTCTCTTGAATAGAGTCTAATTCTATTGGCTTTCAAAAGCCAATAGGAATTGTCCAGGCTGTCTCTGCCCTGCTGCGCCCGCCAAAAGTCCCATTCTGCAAACGGTGCTGCACCAGTTGAGTAGACCTTGACTTACGACCGGTTGAGTAGTCCTCGACTTACCACCGGTTGGGGGTTGCGGCATTAAAAAGGTTGAGAACCACTGCTTTAGAACATGTACAGAATGAAAGTCTCTGACTCTGAGAAACTATGGCTGAGTTGCCTCAACATACGGAGCCTCAAAGTATCCAAGGCCATTTTACTAGGAGAAGATCATTCTATTTTCCCTCAAAATGAACAAGTCTTCCTTTATTTTGACCACGCAGGATTCCACATCTGGATTTTGCAGGTGGAAAGATTTTCCCAAGTGAGACTGATCACTTGTTTGTTTGCCACTCTCTTGGGATTTTCAATCACCCATCCCTGCTGTCTCCAAGAGCTCACTGCTTCATAAACACAATGGCTGCTTCTCAGATACTTTCCTCTTAGGCTTTAGAAAGATCCCTCTATGAAGTGGTGCTCCTGTCTTTCCTAGTGAAAACAAAATGGGATGGAATGAAGTCACTTGGGCCAGAAAAAACAACAACACCTTCCCCCCCCCAAAAGCAAACCAGAACCTAAATTGAGGGGAGAAAAAAAATAGGAGGGCAGAGAAAATCAAATGGAAGTCCTCCTCAATGAATTGTGTTTATTATTATTTACCATGATGGGCAAACAAATTTCAATGTCTCCACAAGTTCTTTCTTTCCAGTATGAAGGCACGTGAGTCCCCAAGAGACAGATACTATTACTACATAGGGTACAGACCACACACAGCGAGAACAGAAAAACACACGCTGGATTATTAGCTTTCTCCTCGTTACACATTACACGCCCAGCCCTGATGGATTCTTTGGCTGCTGCTGTTCCCTCTTGCAGATCCCAAGTGAAAAGAAAATCATGACTTGGTCAAGATGGAGGTTAGAGGCCTTTTAGGTCAGGAAACAGGTGGGGGAGGAGTTACTGATATTGATTTTGCCATGGTTAACCTTTGGTTGTGTGGCCAAATAGAGGGAAACATCCCCCCTCCCAAATAACTCCATTTTAAAGCAACTTTGGCTTCCTGCTCCGATGCTACACTTCATGAGAATTGACTCTGATTGTAGAGTAGCACAAGGATTTTGTCCAAATGCTAGTAAAAAAAATAATGATCTATTTAAGACAGATGGTCTTCACCCAGAAGCAGAATAGGAAGAGCATTTGACCCTTTTGAACTTTGGTGGGGGAGAAAACTCTTGAGAAGCCATGAAAACAATCCAGGGGGACATGGAACAAGTCAACCCAAAGTTCTCACTCATGGGCTGACCTGTTCAATGTTGTCAGACTCAAATTATTCTATTTCAGGCACATTATGCAAAGATCTACCTCTTTGGAGAAGGCTCTAATGCTAGGGAAGGCAGAAGGAAAGAGAAGACACTGACCAGAAGCAAAGTAAATGGATTCAGTCACAACAGAGACAGATAACAAACTGTGAGAATAATCTTGAGGAACAGGAGGAAGAGACACAACCAAGATAACGGTTAGAGAATAGGAATTTGAGTCCAAATCAGGAATGTAATTTGAGACTCAGACTAGACTAGTGTTTCTCAACCTTGACAATTTTAAGGCATGTGGACTTCAACTCCCAGAATTCTACAGCCAGCATTGCTGGCTGTGGAATTCTGGGAGTTGCAGTCCACATGCCTTAAAATTGTCAAGATTGAGAAACACTGGACTAGACCCTCCCTAGTTCTTGCAGATAAAGGTAGGGCTTTTAGACTTGCAAGATTCTGTTGCTATAACCCTATAATAAAAATAGCATAAGTATTCATGGATTTGGTATCTAGTCTGATCTATCTGAAAGGGGAGGCAGGCCTGAAGGACCAGGTTAAGTTCAAATCATCACCCAGAGAAAATCTACAAGTGTTGGCATTGACTTGGTGGCAACATAACCAATCAATTTAAGATGGGTGTATTTATGATTATTAGAGTTAGGGTTATAATTTTATAACCTAAATATAATTTGACAGATGGGATGCAGCTCACAGAAGCCCATTTGAAGGCATTCCCTCTATGTAAAAGAATGACATGATCACATTTCTAAACTGAGCCATTCTCTGGCATGGTGACTGATGACTGGTGATATTATTGATCCTTCTCTTTGAGGGTAAAGGATTGCAACGTTCAACTGTCAGTTGCTGCATGGCATTTTTCCACAATGATTGTCCATCAGAGAACGTAATCATTAGGAAAACGATTTTCGATCAAACAATGAGAGCATTCTCTTCGAGGGCTTCTCTTGACCCGCTGATTAATGAGATCAGAGTATGATTTTAAAAACAGTTATTTTTAGCAGAATCCACTCTGTGCTCCAACAGAATATAAACATCAATCCAAGGAACAGAGAAGATGCCTCTCCAGCAATGTTATTGCTCTCCTTTTTTGTTCTAAAACCAAAACACATCTACAAAGTTACTTAAGGATTGATGTGTTGACTCCATACTCTTTATTAATCTGCCAATAGATTTAGATATTAACTGACCATATACGGTGACCTTTCCTAGATAGCTGTCTGCCAGATGTATTGGGACTACAGTTCCAGAAAATTCAGGACATAGCCCTGTTTGTGTGGGTGCTGTTTCACATTCTTTGCCTACTGAAGCTCCTTATTAAGACACGGCTGTGCTTTCCAGCTATCCTGGCAGCCAAAAAAGCAAATATCTCTTGCCATCAAGAAAACAGAGGTCTATAACCTGGGGGCCAGGTGCTTTGAGTGGGATGCAAGTCCTCGAAAAATTAGGAACAAATTGTAACATGAATGCAGGATAATGGGAAAGAAAGATTAAAAACAGACTGGGAGAAACACCACAATTAAATTTGTTCAATTTAAGTGATGCCAAACTACATCAAATCAACTTTTATTACAATCAAACACCAGCATAGGAAGGGTGGGGCACAAGAAATTTAAAAGCAATTTAAAAAGTACTAAAAATAAACTGCATTAAAAAAACCCTAAAAGGGTAAAAACAAAAATCTAAAAAAAAGTCTAAAAGGAGGGGCAAAAAAATAAAGGGATATAAAAAAACATGGGAAAGAAAATCAAATACAAATAATCCAATAAATCTTATACTAAACTCTCTACGATAATGGTCCTGGTACACATTAAAACTGATTTGTGGCACAGCTCACCTTCTGACATATTTTAGATGCTGCTGTGCAGAACCTGGCAACTTTGTATGTTGTAGCAGAATTGGTGTCTAAAAGCAACAGAAAGTATAAACTTATTCTGTGCACCCTGGAGATTTATTTAATAATGGTGAAATGAGGACAATTTAACTATCTCTATAGTGCAATCACTGGAAAAGTATATGTTCTGTTGTTTCTACATGTCCTGAGTCACAAGATGCCATACTAA